AGAGAGAGAGAGAGGAGAGAGAACAGAGGATGTGCAGAGAGAGAGAGAGAGAATGTGCAGAGAGAGAGAGAGGGGGGAGAGAACAGAGGATGTGCAGAGAGAGAGAGAGAACAGAGGATGTGGAGAGAGAGAGAGAACAGAGGATGTGGAGAGAGAGAATGTGCAGAGAGAGAGAGAGAAAACAGAGGATGTGCAGAGAGAGAGAGAGAACAGAGGATGTGCAGAGAGAGAGAGAGAACAGAGGATGTGCAGAGAGAGAGAGAACAGAGGATGTGCAGAGAGAGAGAGAGAGAGAGAACAGAGGATGGGGAGAGAGAGAATGTGCAGAGAGAGGGAGAGAAAACAGAGGATGTGCAGAGAGAGAGAGAGAACAGAGGATGTGCAGAGAGAGAGAGAGAACAGAGGATGTGCAGAGAGAGAGAACAGAGGATGTGCAGAGCGAGAGAGAGAGATAGAGAGAACAGAGGATGTGCAGAGAGAGAGAGAGAGAAAGAGAGAGAGAGAGAGAACGAGAACAGAGGATGTGCAGAGACAGTGAGAAGAGGATGTGCTGTTTTTGTGCAGCATTTTGCCATAGCAAATTGTAGACACATGCACTGAGAGTTGACAGTTACCCTGAATGGAACGAGTAGTAAAGGAAGACCAAAGGTTGGCTTGTCCTTTATCTCAGTCATTAGCAGCTGGGAGATGTACTGTGTCCACTGTTAATAAACCAAAGACAACATGGCAGTTTATAACTCACTGGTTAACTGAATAAGACTGCAAGCTTGCAGGTTTTCTGGGGTCAGTTTATGTGTAAACATTGCATGAATATGTGCGGCATGTGTGGAACCAAATATTACTACTTACAAAGACTTGTACCAGAGTATGTGTTATAAAAGCATGTCACTGCATATAAATAAGTGTAAAACAGCCCCAAAGCACTGAACAATATCGCATTTGTGGATAAATGAATACAATAAATTGAAGTAGTGTTACCACAAACATTTCTCCAGGACATCCACTAGGTGGCACTCTAGCACCTGCAGTAGGGAATTTTGTAAGTGAAATGTTTCTGATAGAAGATATTTCTGCATGCTACAAGAAAAAAAGTATATACATACCAGAAAATACCAAAAAAAATGGATTAGTCTTAAAAGAGGCTTTTTTATTTTGTTAAATTTTAACTATAATCCGTAGAGGACAACTACTGCAAATGTATGCATTTCTTTCAACCTTTATGTGCAGCGCCCACATTCACTATATTGCCAAAAGTATTGGGGTGCCTGCCTTTACACACACATGAACTTTAATGGCATCCCAGTCTTAAATCCTTAGGGTTCAATATTGAGTTGGCCCACCCTTTGCCGCTATAACAGCTTCAACTCTTCTGGGAAGGCGTCCACAAGGTTTAGGATTGTGTCTATGGGAATGTTCCACCATTCTTCCAGAAGCACATTTGTGAGGTCAGGACTCTGTGCAGGCCAGTCAAGTTCCTCCACCTCAAACTTGCTCATCCATGTCTTTATGGACCTTGCTTTGCGCACTGGTGCACAGTCATGTTGGAACAGGAAGGGGCCATCCCCAAATTGTTCCCACAAAGTTGGGAGCATGAAATGGTCCAAAATGTCTTGGTATGCTGATGCCTTAAGAGTTCCCTTCACTGGAACTAAGGGGCCAAGCCCAACCCCTGGAAAAACAACCCCACACCATAATCCCCCCTCCACCAAACTTTACACTTGGCACAATGCAGTCAGGCAAGTACCGTTCTCCAGGCAACCGCCAAACCCAGACACGTCCATCGGATTGCCAAACAGAGAAGCGTGATTCGTCACTCCAGAGAACACGTCTCCACTTCTCTAGAGTCCAGTGGCGGCGTGCTTTACACCACTGCATCCCACGTTTTGCATTGCACTTGGTGATATAAGGCTTGGATGCAGCTGCTCGGCCATGGAAACCCATTCCATGAAGCTCTCTACGCACTGGTGTTGTGCCAATCTGAAGGCCACACGAAGTTTGGAGGTCTATAGCTATTGACTCTGCAGACAGTTGGCAACTTCCGCACACTGTGCGTTTCAGCATGCGCTGACCCCGTTCTGATTATTTTACGTGGCCTACCACTTCGTGGCTGAGTTGCTGTTGTTCCCAGTTGCTTCCACTTTGTTATAATACCACTAACAGGTAACCATAGAATATTTAGTAGCAAGGAAATTTCACAGATGGACTTGCACATGGATATTGCACAGGTGGCAACATATCACAGTACCACGCTTGTATCCACGTAGCTCCTGAGAGCGACCCATTCTTTCACAAATGTTTGTAGAAGCGTCTGCATGCCGAGGTGCTTGATTTTATACACCTGTGGCCATGGAGGTGATTGGAACACCTGAATCCAATGATTTGGAGGGGTGTTCCAATACGTTTGACAATATAGTAGTGTATATAGCCAGTATAATATTTGAGACACAATTTAAAAATAAACAAATAAACCTAAATAATGCATTTTATAATATTTGTATTGCTTGGTGTAACAGGAGGTGAAGATGAGGTCAGGCTCCAGACCTCGTGTGCCAAAATGTAAATTTATCTGGATACTTCGTAGCACTTTTTGGGATACTCTAATGAGAAAATGGAGGGAAATAAACAAAGAGAGGCACACTCTTCTAAACTGAGAAAATGGAACAGATTTTGTTCTTAATTAACAAAGGGGGGATCTGCTCCGTTTTCTATGTCTGTGCCAGGCACAGCATGAAGAGCAAGAGACCTGGAACTGCTTACTCCACCTCCCACTGTCTGCCCACCTATCCCCTGTCAGCTAAGAATAAAAGGGAGGAGCAGGCTGTTAACCTTGCATTTGCCGGGGTTAACAGCAGGGCATATAGGCTTTCAGTGAGCTTTCGAGGAGCTCCAGTGCATATATGCATACTCTGTCCATGTAGTGTGTTCACAGCATGGGCAGAGAGAAGCATGTGAGCTGGCAGACAGTTCACATCCCGTTCTCCAGGTCCAATCTGGTGGGGATCTTCAGCAGTTCTATATGAAAAACTGCAGTCAATTAACAGTGAAGAAACTGCCTTCACATGACGTATGTTAATGTGTGTAGAGTAACGCACTGTGATGTAATCTGTTTAGTGAGGTGAAAGTAAAAAAAAAAGGCCAGACAGAAAATAGTTCTCAATTTATTGCATGAAAAGTTTGGATAACTTGTCCCAAATTGCTCAATATCTAATACTTATCAACATGATCAGCTGTTTATAACCTTAAAGTGTATGTCCAGCCAAAACTTTTTTTTTCCCTTTGTGCTTTGTAGTAGGGCAGGTTGGAACCCGTGTCAGGTTTTTACTACTATTCAAAGCCCGGTTAGAGAGCTTTCACCTTACTTAAGCTGGCAACACACTATCAGACTCCTCACCCACACTAAACAATGTGGATGGAATATTATTCAGCTGTTGCTACTATTTTCTGACAGCCGTCTACAGCTGATTGGCTGCACTTTTTGGGATACTTTAAAGAGACAGTAGAGGAATAGAAAAAGAGTGGCACACTTTTCTAAACTAAGAAAATGGAGCAGATTCTGATCTTTATTAACAAGGGGGTGATCTGCTCCAGTTTCTATGTCAGCGCCAGGCATAGCATAGAGAGCAGGAGAACTAGAGCTTGTTGTATCACCTTCCACTTTTGAGGAACTGAAAGAGATACATTTATAGAATTCTCTGAAATAAATTGCATTCAATTCATTCATACAGCTTGTACACTGGCTACATACGGTTGTGATACATATGTGGGTGACAGGAAATGTATACATTTGGAACCGATGTCCTAATAAATAATGGAGCTATCAAGAAAAAAAATCCTGAGCGGTTAGCTGGATATAATTCTCATATCTGCTGATAGCTCTCGGCCTGCGCAGTTCCGTGCTTTATTAGGCGGCCTGGTTCATGCATGAGATCCACAATGTAACTCTCTGGAAGAGCTTTTGTCCCTGGTCTCAGTGAGTCACTGAACAACTTGACTTCATTCCAAGCACGACCATAGTCACCCCGTTCCAGAGTACAAGCGATGCCAATTCTGTCTGCTACAGCCTAAAAAACACACACGTTAGAGTACAAGAAACGCAAATCCTGTCTGCTACAGAGTAGAATATATACACATTATAGCCTGTTGCCTATCTGACACTCACTGTGTGGCCCTCAGGGGCCCTTGCAGACAGTAGTCTGTGTTTACCTTGCCTAGATGCTTATTCAGACCAGTGAGGGAAAAATATTTACGACACTGAGTACTAGAAGTTAATGGCTGGGCAGATCTCTTTAATGCTAGCTTTCTTTTTTCTGTGTTGTCCAACTCTTTTCTCTTGTAATATGTTTTCTCTCCATTGATCATTTTAGGAGAAATATCAAATGAATATCAGATGTGTCCCAAATACATTTTAAGAGGGATGTAGGAAGCGCAAATGTGAAAGGACTGATCTGTAAAGGAACTGTTATAGCAGTAATCTCTAGCAGTCTCATGTATTGTGTCTCCAGTCTATAAATCAGTCAAGCAAAACAAATGACAAACGCACTCATCAATTCGTTACCAGCTTTACAGCAAGGTGCACATGGAAGGGCTTCAAACAGTAAGACAGAAAAAAGTTTCCCAGCAAACTCACCAGCCAGCATGCAAAAAAACCTGTCTAACCACTAAGGTTAAAAGCAGAGGTTTGGATACACGTCTTCTGCAGAAAATGTTATGTGGCCCTTTGTTGATGTCAGGGGTTGCACATGAGGCCCTCTATATCAGCAAGTATTTTTGGTTTCTTGTTGTATTTACTTTGTTCTGATGTCTTACGGTTGGTGACATGGCAGGCAGTGTCCACTTCCTGTTTGCCACTTCTCCAATCCTAGGCAATCTTCAGTGATGAAAGGGGCGGCACAAATGTGATTATTTCAGCACAGTTTTCTGCATCTTTATACTGTTGAATGCAGGTACCATTCTGATGTCCATACAAGGGACATGTGTATGACAGCATGACACCCTGTAGACACATGAAGAGGGTTACATGACCCAGAGCGTCATTTAACCCAGGAGACTGGTGACATCTAGTGACAGAAAATAATTACTGCAGTGGACAGGGTGAGAAGAGGTGAGCATTGCAGCCAAAGCTGTATTTTTAGGCCTGGAGGATAATCATAAAAAAATTTTTTTTTACTGGGGTTGGGTTTTAGACATAAAAGAGAACTATGGGGTAAGTGTTTTCCCCATAGTTCTCTTTAGGGTCATGGGAGGAGGTTAGTATATGCCCTCCCGCTATTGCCGCAATATACTGAGAGCGCTGCAGCCGGGATGGATCCCGACAATACTGTCTGGATCCACCCAGCTGCGTGAGTGAGAGTTTGCTCTACCTATCTAGAGGCAGAGCCAGCTGTGCCCGCCCCCTCCTCCGTTCGTTCCTCCACTCAGCGCTGAAGGATTGGGGAGGGGGGAATCCCTGCAGTGAGCGGTGACTGACAGTGAGTGACAGTTGGCTCTGCCTATCTAGAGGCAGAGCCATCTGTGCCTGCCCCCTCCTCCGTTCGTTCCTCCACTCAGCGCTGTAGGATTGTGGAGGGGGGGAATCCCTGCAGTGAGCGGTGACTGACAGTCACTGCTCACTGCAGGGAGACGATCGGGAAGTGAGCAGATCGGTGCATGTTTCTGCTCTAGTCCCGATCTATAGAGCCGACCTGTGACAGCTTCTTTGTCACAGGTCGGCTCTAACTATGAGGATGAGTGGAAATCCCTCACCTCTTAGATCTCTTTTAAACCTCAACTAGTTTATTTTTTTTCTGCTAAATCACTGGGTGTTGCTGATCTCTTCCAGCCTCTTTCAGCCATGTTCTGTCTTCATGCACTTGATCCAGCATCTGCTGAATATCATTGCTGTGGACCACCTTCCTGATAGTGAGAACTGTGGACCATGCCTACACTATGTGTGTCAGAGCAACTACCTTTAGTAGGAAGGCAGCAGGGGAGCAGCTGGGAGACAAACAACACCCTATAACAGGAAGCACCCGCATGACAAGATCATCAGGTATTATTTTAACAGAAGCTGTAGATTTATAGAGATTGAAAACCGCATGAAAAATGTGAAATTGCATGAACATGTCAAAGCTTATATGTGATTATAATGACTGGGTTTAGATCTATGTTAAAAAGTCCTTTAAAAATCCATATCTGTGAATGCATACCTTATACAGCAGGGCTCGGTGATAGAATATCCCTTTCTTAATCTTCCCGATGGGAACAACATTACTGTTCAGCTCAAATTTAAGTTCACTGATATGGAGCTCCCAGCTGAATTCATGCACTCCTTCTCTCTCTATCGCACCGCCCATCCTTTCAGCCACAAACCTGAGTGGAATACGAGAGGATCCATCATACTACAGAGTTTTGTCTCAAAAAAGATGTTTTACTATATACAGCCCCCCAATGATTGCTGCAATTGTTCTCAGATCATTACAAGAATTAAAATGGAAATGTATGCGGCCGTCTCAGTATCTTCACTGTTCAGCTGCATATTATGGAAGATTTAAAGCCGACATAAAAACTTAAAATGAAATCCGTTTTGGTCTGAAGTCTGTAGAAAGAAAATGTAATGTGCCCTAGCCAGGCACATTGTATCCCCCCACGCCATCGCCAGATATCCTAAAGTTCCTTCATCTCCGACATTTAGGGCAAGTTCACATCTTTTTCTCGATCAGCTCTTGATGCTTTTTTGCAGCGTTTTTACCGCGCGATTGGCTACAATCTCAATACAAATGAGTAAACTAAACGTGAGATTGTAGTCCATCACGGGAGCGAGCTTGGAGTGGTGACTACTTTAGAACACACAGGGACCATGGGGAACAAAAGTATGCATCCTCCAGGAGGAAGGACAGTGTCAGCACCAATTCAGAGATTATTGGAGGATCTACAGCCGAGTGACACAAATAAGATACATTTTTGTTAATAGTTAAGGTTCTTGCATTTTTAAGATTTGACTCCTGAGTTTAGTGTCACTTTAATTCTCCAGATCTAGCAAAAAATTAAATATCAGTTTTGGGTGTACCTTTAAGACAAGGTGACATGCTGCATACTGCCTAGCCTTTATCAGACTAGGTTTACTCAATATTGTAAATGGCAGTATCCAAAGTAACCCATAATTATAAGTAATTAGAAGCAATAAGCAATTGGTTGCTATGGGTGAGTACACTATGCACATCATTGCCATTGTTTGCACTGCCTTGATAAAGCAGAACTCCAGACTAAGCAAATATTGTCTAAATACAAGAGTCATGTATATTCCTGTTTGAATCATGATTTTGTATTTCTTCCAGATCTGTGCAGTAACCCAGTGTGAAACTTTGGCTCTGTAAAGGAGACTCCTGTAATAAGACCAGGCACTGCTGTGCTCTCTTCTTGTGCAGGGTGACTGGTCTTATCTCCACCCCCTCCTGTAGATTTCTGCAGGCAGCCTATGCTGGTTGGATATGCCGGGCCCCTCCCACAGCTCTGCCACAGGCTATATATAACCCAGTGATGATGTCACCACTACATTTATATAGCAACATCTGGGATTTCAAAGGCATTTGGTGCACACAAAGTCGATTTATATTCTTTATGTAAATAAAATACATTAAAAATAAAGTTTTGGTTCCCGGAGTTTAACTACAAACACATGTAGTCATATCGGCTGGTTTTGCCTTAATAAGCAGGTGTCTTACTTACTGTGCCAGAGCTACCACTTGCTCTCGGAGGTGTGGAAGAGGAAGGATTGTAGTGGACGCCTCTGAGATATAGTCATTTAATTCCTTGTCACATGGTGGGAACCAGTGCAGGGTCTCAGGAGTGGGGTCTGGTTGAGCTATGACCCGGGATACCTCATCTTCCTCTTTCACCTTCTCTTCCTCCTTCTTCGCTTTGCCCTTTCCTTTGCTGAAAATAGATCAGATATTTACACAGATGTAGTCTTCTTTACAGAGGTGTTGTATGGAAATAGTTATAGTGCATCTAAAACCAGAACTTTTTTTGTTTCGGACAGAGTAGGCAATGGTTACCCTGTCAGGTTTATTTGATGTGTGCCATTGGGGAAAGTCCTCTTCACTTCCTGTGCTGGACACATGGCAGAAAGTGAAGGGAAATCTCTTCAAAGTGAGTAGAAACCTTATTTTGTCAGGGAAATCTCTTCAAAGTGAGTAGAAACCTTATTTTGTCAGGGAAATCTCTTCAAAGTGAGTAGAAACCTTATTTTGTCAGGGAAATCTCTTCAAAGTGAGTAGAAACCTTATTTTGTCAGTTGTTAGCTGTCCTTGTTGGATGATTTCTCTATTTCTGTTCCAGTGACAACTGTAATATTTGGATTCACCATCACTTTTTGATCACCAGGACAAATAGAATGAATCTCACTGGCAAGGACACAGACAGCAATAAAAACTGATAGTTGAATCATTCTATCCAAAACTAAAAAAAGTTTTGATTAGAGATGCACAAAGTCAGCACACAGTACTGAATTGCATACATACATTTGGATACAGTGACATCCCTCTGAAAACGCTAGCTGTCATACTAACCTACTTCTGACTTCAAGTATGCATCAAGTCTGAGCTCCTAATCTGCATACATTTTAAAAACCTATGACTGAAGCTGGCCATACACTGTTAGAGTTACGAATGACTCGCAGGAATCATCCAAAAATGTAACATAGTTACATAGTATTTGAGGTTGAATAAAGACATTAGTCCATCAAGTCCAACCTATTAGGATCTCATTCTAGGAGTAAGGGTGGGTGACCGTGACCATGTGACCATGGGTCACAGTGGGTGACCATGCTGGCTTGACAAGTCGATTGTGCTGGGCTAAAAATTGTTGACCAAACAGTGACTGCAGTAAATGTTCGGGTATTCTGACAGCGTCAGTGGGGATTCCTCCATCTAAGTTGTTTAGGGGTGGATGGAGGAATCTGTAAGAAATCTAACCTCCCTGGCGGTAATCCCGAGTGTGGCTGGGGGGTTAATTTTCAGTACCAAAAGAGGTAACCCCGAGCCACACACGGGATTACACTGTAGTGTCACTTACCTTGTCCCTACGAGCCCCTGGTGTCCTCCCGCTGTGTCCTCCGGCCGATGCCGGCATCCGTCTTCCGGGTTCCTTCCCTGCCAGTGTCGGCGTCGCAGGGGGGCGGAACCGGCAGCAATTTCAAAAGTGAAAAGTAAACACAATATGGCACACAATACATTGTAATCTGTAATGATTACATTACTGTATCAAACCATTTCACCTCAGTTTTGTCCCTAGAGCTTTGTTTTGTGCCCTGCCTGCACTTTTACCGTTCTTTCTGCCTGGAAACTTGAGAACGTCCATGGCAACCCTTGTTTGGGCAAATTATTCAGGGTTTTTTTTGGTTTGATTACATTATTGAGTTAAATTTATTATTATTATTTTATAATTTTTTATAATTATTTATTATATTATAATTTATGATTTCGTGTTTCAAACTTTATCATACCCGGGTTGTCTACCAGACTCTTTTTTTGGACAGATTTAAGTGAGTTATTCCTAAGAATTACAGGCCTACAATATAAAACAACAACTTTCCATGCAAAACAATGTACCGCTTTGACATTCAAAAATACTGACATAATCAGACCGCCAGGGAGGTTAATATATGGCCAGCTTTAGACCATAGTGACACCAGAGGATCATCATGACAACCAACAACCAGCATTTTCAGGAGGACAGCAATGGTGGCCCACCTATTACTCTCATGACAGGTTTCCTTTAAGACTTACTAGGTTTTTAGCTGCCTGAACTCACTGTTGCCTCTGTGTTGTGATTTATTAAGTAAGAATCATGTAGGACAGCCATGCAATATAGGAAACACCAAAACATATATGGGAAAGCACAGACATACACAAGCAGTGTTTTCTTTAAGTGAATAATTTGAGTTGAAATTAGAATCCATATCAATAAATCTCCAGCCACTGGACAGTGGAATTAATACCCCACAGACAGATCTAAATGACAAAGCTAGGATCTGACCCCTGGGATGCTATGAGAAGCCGCACCACTGTGTTCCTTAAAGGGAAATGTATAATCTCTGTATTGTTTTAAGATAAACATGTGGAAGTGATCAGCCTAATGTAAGTCATATTATAAGTATCACTAACTAAAGGTTAGTTAGCCTTTAAAAGGTAAAATTTTGATAACATTTTATTATAGTTTTATTTCGTTGAATCCATCACATGATCACAGAACAGCGGCCATCTTGTTCAGCTCATAAAGTACTTTACAACTTTTACAATTCATCCCTCACAATACAATGTTTTTGGCATATACATGTGAAAAAGTGTCAAAATAAATCATATTCTTTAGAACAACACCCACCAAGGTCACCAAACCATGTGGCCACGGCGCACTTTGTGTGCTACACACGCTCTAGGAAACTGTCCCTACCATAAAAAGGTCACTTGGTTCGGTTTTTGCCTCCCTGGCCAAAGGATCCCTGGTACTCAAGACCATGCAAAAAGCCTGTGCCATGCTTGCGGTGCCAATATTTGCCAATGGCACCCCAAACGTGACAAGAAAGACACATAAAGCAAAGGTTTTTTTGCCGTGTTTGTTGCATACAGGGCAGTCCACTGAAATGAATAGGCTGCTCTAAGTTGACGTGCAAACAGTGCATGGCAAGTGTGAATGGGGCCCAAGGGTATGTGTGGATGGGCTGTGGCCTTGGGTTGATGGCATTAGTTTGAGATCAGTTTGAGACGCTTTGGAAAATAATTCAGACGTGTGCATTTGACCTGCTTCTGACCTGCAAATGACTTGCATCATACAGGTTTTGCATTCCCATAAACGTGTATGGGAATACAAAACCCCCTTGATAGAAACAAAAGCCCGTCCACTCAGGCCTGAACAATGCCTGGGAGGTTTAATCTATTGCAGCAACAGAGTTCTTTTTCATATTTAAATGTGAATAAAAGGTGATAGATGAATGCACACCTGGCAGAGATATAGCTGAATGTGATGTTAGCACGTGCTTTGCTTTCTGGACACCTAGGCCTACATATAGTTATGGAGAAGCGAAGCTGAACCTTTTCAGCTTCAGTTGTGGTGCCAATACTGTGCTACGAATATGAAGTCCCATAAGAAAGAATGGAAACTACCACAACAACTACAACACACACAGGGACCATGGGAAGGACAGTGTCAACACCAATTCAGAGATGATTTGAGGATCTACAGCCGAGTGATACACAAATAAGATACATTATTGTGAATGCATTTTTAAGATTTAACTCCTGAGTTTAGTGTCACTCCAAGTACTGTTTTACATCCATGCATTGCTTTACATGTGTTGACATGTTGCAATTTATTTTAAATAGCACCCCAACACACTATAGCAATACACATTCATTGCAATGCGTTTTGGTGCGACAAAAAATTGGTGACGTCCAATTTTTGGGACATTTTGGTGCGTCAAAAGCCCATTCAGTTCAATGGCCTGCCCTAATGCAATGCACATTATCATGTGACATATTGCGCATTAATGCTCGTGCATTACAGCACCACAAAAATGTAAATGGCCCTTAAAGTTTTGAGAGGAAAAGTCCTGCCTAATGTTGACAATACATGTGGCATTTTCAAAAGCGTTTTATTGACTTAAAATCAAAGAAATGATCACATGGCAATTGAAGGGTCCTCTGCAACAGGCCACTCACAATGTTTAATCACTTTATGGTCCTTAAAGTTGAACTTCAGGTCATCACCTCTCTGACCAGAGAAGACCTTGTATTCATTGATAAAAATACTAGGCATTCACTGAATGGCCGCTGTGCCGAGTGAGCGATACCCTGTGTTTTCACAGCAGAGGCAGTATAGGACCTGGGAGATCATAGCACAGGCAACTACAGTTTTTTTACACCCTTCCAGGTATAAAATAATAAAATACTGGGGCAAGCTGGACCACTGTATATATATTATATTGCCAAAAGTATTGGGACACCCGCCAAATCATTGGATTCAGGTGTTCTAGGAAATTTCCTTGCTACTAAATATTTCACCGTCAACTGTTAGTGGTATTATAACAAAGTGAAAGCAACTGGGAACAACAGCAACTCAGCCACGAAGTGGAAGGCCATGTAAAATGACAGAGCGGGGTCAGCGCATGCTGAAGCTCACAGTGCGCAGAGGTTGCCAACTGTCTGCAGAGTCCATAGCTACAGACCTCCAAACTTCATGTGGCCTTCAGATTGGCAGAACAACAGTGCGTAGAAATCTTCATGGAATGGGTTTCCATGGCCGAGCAGCTGCATCCATGCCTTACATCACCAAGTGCAATGCAAAGCGTGGGATGCAGTGGTGTAAAGCGCGCCGCCACTGGACTCTAGAGAAGTGGAGACGTGTTCTCTGGAGTGACGAGCAAAACAAACGACAAAAGCACTCAACAATTTGTTACCAGTGACGAATCACACTTCTCTGTCTGGCAATCCGATGGACGTGTCTGGGTTTAGCATTTTCCAGGAGAACGGTACTTGACTGACTGCACTGTGCCAAGTGTAAAGTTTGGTGGAGGGGGGATTATGGTGCGAGGTTGTTTTTCAGGTGTTGAGCTTGGCCCCTTATTCCCAGTGAAGGGAACTCTTAAGGCATCAGCATACCAAGACATTTTGGACAATTTCATGCTCCCAACTTTGTGGGAACAGTTTGGGGATGGCCCCTTCCTGTTCCAACATGACTGTGCACCAGTGCACAAAGCAAGGTCCATAAAGACATAGATGAGAGAGTTTGGGGTGGAGGAACTTGACTGGCCTGCACAAAGTCCTGACCTCAACCCGATAGAACACCTTTGGGATGAATTAGAGCGGAGACTGCGAGTCCGGCCTTCTCGTCCAACATCAGTACCTGACCTCACAAATGTGCTTCTGGAAGAATGGTCAAACATTCCCCATAGACACACTCCTAAACCTTGTGGACGCCTTCCCAGAAGAGTTGAAGCTGTTCTAGCTGCAAAGGGTGGGCCAACTCAATATTGAACCCTACGAACTAAGACTGGGATGCCATTAAAGTTCATGTGCGTGTAAAGGCCGTCGCCCCAATACTTTTAGCAATATAGTGTACATATAAATATTTATACCTGGAGTTCAGCCTTAACGCTCAAACAACAAAACTGTGGAGGGTATAGGCTGCAGCCAATGAAATGCCATTAGAGGGACATTTAAAATTATATATGACTGGCCAGCATACTTTTTCTTTAAGAGAATGAGGATGAAAATCTCTGCTTACTAAAAATGAATGAACTGATTAAATATCTTTACAACACAGTAAAAAGTGTGAACCTGCGTGATATAAATGACACACGCTTTCATTTTTTACTTTTATATATGTCTCCCAGTTTGTTGCCCTGAAGTCCGTCACACGAGGCGTTCTCTTAGAAAACACATCTGCTTCGATTTAGGCGTCCGCTCATTCATAAAAAAGAATTGGCTGACACATTCCATGGCTTGTCTGTCTTTCAGTGGAGGATTTCTGAGCTCTCCAGAAAACGCCACTTGATTCTAAGCCGTGCATGTTTTATATTAATTAGTGCAAAGTAAAAACATCTGCAGGCTGGAGACCAGCGTTACATTCGCTTCACTGTCTTGGGTGGCTTATGAAGAAAAAAAAAGGAAACATTCTGTGAATTTATCCCACCCTCAGTGGTTCCTGAAGGCCTAAAATCTATGAGGACCCATTCAGACCTAAAGAAGAACTCTAGGCATAATAAAACGCAACCCTTGTAGTGGGGCTAGCCCCTCACTGCAAGGGTTAAGTGCTCATTTTGGACTAGGGTCTATAATAACAAAGGTATATTCACCCGAGCCTTAGTCCGGCTTGGCTGCTAGACCGGTCCCTGCAGCCTCTCTCCCCCTCTGCTCCAGCGATCTAAGGATGTGTGAGTCATCTCGTCTAATACAGTGTAACAAGGACACATAGGGACATTCTGTGGAGGGGGAGAGAACCTGCAGGGACCGGTCTAGCAGCCCTAGGCCAAAACAAGCACGTAACCCTTGTAGTGCAAGGGTAGCCCCGTTGCAAGGGTTACATTTGTTTTGCCTGGAGTACTTCTTTAAGTGTTTTGTTGTGGTACATTATTGCACATGGAACATTAGTATGGCACGCAGTATGAATGGGCTGCCAACTTACCATGATGGATGTTAAAACATACATGACCCTTTTTTAGCAATACACAGTATAAGTGTAGATGTTGTAGTGTGCTGTGGTGCACTGAATGCTACTCTACTGCGTTGGGGTGCTATTCACAATGAATGGCAGCACAACACACCACACATAGAGCAAGTGCATTGCCGTGTGTTGTGGTCATGGGCATTAACCTATGTATTTAAGCTCGCTTTGCCGCAACACATGAGTGTGAATGGACCTTGAGGTCTGAGGAGCACCTGATGTCACGGACATCCTGTAACTGCAGGAAACAACTCATTGTGAGAGGGATCCACTGTGTAGTTATTTAAAGTGGATGTCTTCTCCAAATTTGCAACAGAAGAGTGATAGGGCCAGCCTGAGTGACTAGGTGCCATTTCTCTAACAAACACTATAGCAGGGGTGGGCAACTCTGACCCTCTAGCTGGACTTTAACTACAAATCTCAACATGCCTCTGGGAGTCATTATTATTATTATACAGGATTTATATAGCGCCAACAGTTTGCGCAACGCTTTACAATATAAGGAAGACATTACAATTCAAGACACGATGTTAAGGAGGGCCCTGCCCCTGAGGGCTTACAATCTAAAAGGGAGGGGCAAGTGATACATGAGGAGGTAGCTGTGTGGGGATGAATTGTTTGAGAACAGGCTGGTTGAGTGGTTAGGTTGAGGTGGGATAGGCTTCCCTGAAGAGATGAGCCTTAAGGGATCGCCGAAAGGCAGTCAGAGTGGGAGATAGTCTGACAGGTTAGGGTAAAGACTTGCAGAGGATGGGAGAGACTCTAGAGAAGTCCTGGAGGCAAGCATGGGAGGAGTTGATGAGGGAGCTGGAAAACAGGAGGTCTTTGGAAGAGCGGAGTGGGCAGTTAGGGTGATAGTTTGAGACAAGGTTTGAGATATAGCCGGGGGCAGAGTTGTGGATGGCTTTGTAGGTCGCTGTTAATATTTTGAATTTTACCCTTTGGGTGATTGGAAGCCAGTGGAGGGATTGGCAGAAGGGGGTTGCAGACACTGAGCGGTTGGTTAGGTGAATGAGTCTAGCAGCAGCATTCATTATAGATCATGCCTGTAACTGTCAAACCTGCAATGCCTCATGGGACATGTAGTTTCGCAACAGCTGGAGGGCTGGAGATGCCCACCCCTGCACTAAGGTTTGCAAAACTGAAGTTTAATATTTTTTAGCAAGAAAGTTGTGCAGCAATATGGCTGCACAGTGTGAGTACATTGCACAGGGTACATGTATGTGAAATTTTCACTTATAAAACAAAGGAAAACTGACTTACATAAGTAATTACAATTTTTATAAAAGGCTTTTACTGTTGTATTTACCTAAAAAATGAAAATTACCTGGAAGATTTCTCCTTCGTCCTACTACGGCTTACAGAAGGAGATCGCCCCGAAGAATGTTCTTGTTTGTCTTCTACTGGTGACTGACCCCGACTGACAATAAAAAGCAATAAGATATTAGGGAACCCATCACCGTTGGAGTTTTGCCACTAAATATAGGATAGTAAATGTCACTACCGCCAAAGTTCATCCTCCATCGGGGTACAAGTGTAATGACACACAGGTGGGCAGCACTTTGACAGTCAGGGTGTCTGGAAATCTAGCAAACAGGAAACACAAAAACAGTGCCCCTCTCTTGTGTAGAGGACGGTGGAGGAGGGGGCTGCTAGGTTCTGACAAAGGGGGCGTAGCCCAGAAACGTGTTAACGAGAAGCTGTCATGTAGGAAGAAGGATGTACGCTCCAGACTGCATGCCTATGCCGGTGCTGTTTGTGATGTTCTGACAGTGCAGATGCACCCCTGTCACTACAGGCTTTCTTACACCGGCTGTTTGCGAGTACATTTCTTGCTTTTAACATTCAACTTATTAAAGACTTCTGAACAAGAGAGGCGCGCTGTTTTTGTGTTTCCTGTTTACTAAATATAGGATGTACAAAATGAACTAATCAGAAACCGGTTTTAATAACTTAGTGAATTCTGCTTCCATCATCAGGACTGTGACTACCATAAGGCATCTACCATAAGGCATCTCCAAGTCTCAAAATGTAAAAACTATGATAACATTTTCTGCATATTATTGCTCTCTTCTGTTCACCTCAAGAACATTCATCTGGCCACATCTGAAGAGGACAGTAATAAGGACAGGAATACCAGCACTTACCCTCCTTTTTCTTTAGAGGCGCTTCTGCTCTGTGAAGATGGAGACTGTCTGATATTTGGCTCTGTTTTCTCCTCCACTGGAAGGGGTGATGGGGTAGCACTAAAAGAATAACATTCATATAAGATAAAGCTGCCACAGTTTACAGCCCAACTGAACTTTGAGTAGAAAAGCCTGACTGCTGCAAGCAGCTGCATAGTGGGACCTTTGTTATCTGTAGGGAAGCAGTGATCTCTCTGCAGAGGTCTAACAAACCTGCTACTAAATCAGGCCAATAGCTCTGCAATTAGCAAACACTGCCTGCTTTTTGTAGAGCTCTGACTTAGCAAGTGGCATGTTGGACCTCTGCAAAGCGATCACTGCTTCTATACGGAGAGGAATGGTTCTTCTCTGCAGCATGCTGGCAGGGAACAGGCTTTTCTACTCAGATTGTGGCTGCTTTCTAAACAAAATCAACTGCAAGTCTTTATGCAGTTTTGCATTTTGCTGCACCTAAAATGTATGTACCTAATTTAAACTGAGAATTCAATTGGGCTTTCAGTAGATCTAAAGTCTAAACATTTGATGTTAGTTTTTGGACAATGCAGGCGGAGATAAAAACCCTGACAAGTTTTTGTGTTTGCTGTTTGTCTCCAATTGCGGTAATTTTCTTTCAGTTTCTGTCCTGAGACACAAAAAGGGATTGAGAGGGAACAGTTGTAACTGGAACTGGTGTCTCCATAGGAAGATTTGCCCTCTATTCCTGACCCAGTGGCAACTGAAAATTTTGGAAGACAATGGAGTGGTGGAGGGCAACTCTCCCCAGCAGAAGCCAGAGGTTCTAACTCTTCCTTACGCTATTGAAGAAACTAACAAAAAATGTTGACTTTAGATATAAATTAAGAAACACACCTATTGCTCTGAATAGTTTTCAAAAATCACATTTTGTTTTACATTTCTATATTTTTTAATAATAGTTATTAAAGAGTCTGTTTGCCCGGTTGTCATTCACTCACCTTAAAAATTCTTCAAGCGGCTCACATGTGACAGGAGTCTCCACTCTATAACTCAAATCCTTTTCTATTCAATTAATCATCATCCCTTGGAAGAAATACAGGCCTACTAAATACTAAATGCCAAAGTGCTTAGTACACCATGTGACCCATGCCAAGGGATATATATTCTAAATCGAAAAGCCTTTGAAGTATTTATTTATTTGAAGTAATTTAATGACATTATTAGTAATTTAATACCCTTTATGGTATTGCTGCTAAAATCTATGGTACTATGTTATAGGTTCACCTTAAAGTAAACAAAGGTTTAGGACATTTAAATATTTGCCTTTAACCTGCCATTAATTAGAGTTAAAACAAGCCCTGGCTGCCCTCTGTAGCTGCAGGCACTGTGGAGCAATTTATTCTCAAAGTGTACAGCATAAGGCACTGAAATTGTTTTTTTTTAGCAGCTCATCTACCTACTGTCCCCACTTCCAGAAGTGACTTAGCAGCTCAGCTTAGCACTTACAGTTCAGGTAATTTTGTATTGATTAAAATAACTGCCCGGCTTTGGTTCAGCTCCTGTTTGCTAAGTTCTTCCAGAGATGGTAACTTTGCATCAGGTTTTATCTGTAGGAAAGAAATTGGCACTGATATTAACAGTGTAAATTCTAAAAACATATCAGAAAAATGACAGCAGCATTGTCCTCCTATAGGATTTTGGTAGCTAAGACCAATAAATAGTTTAGGTGAAATGATTGTAATTCCAATTACAATAATTCTATATAGGGAATATGTAGAGTGACCATTCACTGCTGTACTGACCAACTATGCACAAGCAACTGTAATTGAAAAACATTTTTGTGGAAGCTTGTGTGACAATTTTTATTGGTTAAATAATAAGGATGGTACATTGGCTATGCATTTCAAAGCTCTAACATGGCCACTTCCTCAGGAGAGTGGGGGTTTCCTCTGGAGTTCTCATAGTGAGCAGTATGAAAGCCCCATAGAAAACCCCTATTCTGCAGCCTTAAAGTGTCCTCTTACATCTTCCTGATGAAGTGGCCATGTTAGATCCATGAAATGCATAGACGGTGTACCATCCTTATTCAAATTTTTTTTAATTACAATTGTCTCTGCAGACTCCCTCTCTCCTATTTCAGGGGCTTGTATCCTCATCTTCACTACACAATGGGTTCCATCTTCTCCCCAGCACAGGCTCATCAGAGTCTAGCCGTGATGAGCATTGAGCACGACCTGCATATTTGCAGGGAGAGAGATATTCCCCGCACGTCCTTTTGTTTGGATGCGTGATCCCCTCCTTGGGCATCCTGCAACCCAACACATGTGAGTATCAGACTCTCTGTCATTATTTTGAATCATCTATCACATCTTCCTTGAAGGGTCTAAAATACTACATCCGACAGATCTCTTCTGGGACTTTTTATCCTCTTTTTTTGTTTTCTACCTTTATCCTCAATTTGTCACGATCTGGGATCAGGCTCAGAGTCCAGTAGCTGAAACAGCAGGCAAATTCGTGGTATAACAGGCCGGGTTTGGTACACAAGCAGATGGTAGAAGTATAGGAGCAGGCAGAACCTTAGTCAGCAAAAAAGCTGAGGTCAGTAGCCAAAGGTATAAGGTATGAAGCAGAAGACGATGAGAGTAGTCGGTGAATAAGCAGCCAAAGGTCGGTACAGCAGTATAAGCAGATTGTATCACAGAGTGAGCGGGAAGCAAGCTATTGGCAAGAGCACAAAATTCTGACAAACAGGAAGTGCAGTGGCATGGCTTAAATAGGAAATGTACTTTTAACACCTTTGGATTTAACTGAATTAGGGTTGCACAGATACCAAGTACAGTACTCGGTACAAGTACGAGTACAGGTACCGATACTTTTGAGCTCCAAGGCTACACTAGAGAAAAATTAAAAAATTAGGAGGCAGCTGTCATTTGTAAGGAGCACACGGAGCTTCTGGGATTTGTACATCTCTGTTTTAATGTACGATTTTGTTTTTATAAATATAAATAAAGGGATGCACAGATACCAGTTTTGCGAGTATGAGTACTGGTACTTGCCGAGTACTTACAAGTACGAGTACTGATACATTTTTGTTTATTGTCACGTGGCAGTTTTTCTAAAACAATACAGACTAATGATTTCAGGACAGTGGTGAAGTGCCAGAGCCAGGTCCCAGCTGCAACCTCTGCAACCCTGGTAGTTCTCATGAAAATGCCAAGTATCTGCACTGGTACTCGAAAAGTATCTGTACATCCCTAAACTGAATTACACAGCTAATTTTGTGACAATCTCATGATGTACTCCAAAGTAGTCACACACCTATACATGACTTATACTCGTGTTCCAACGTACCCGGCCGTGGTCATAAAATCCATCATTTATGAGGTTGGTGTAGGATAAAAATCCTTTCTGGTTGTATTTCAGAGAAAGGTTATTATCCAGCATCTTGTTCAGAGCCAGCTCGCTAAAATTGTTTCTGCGACTTGCTGAAAGATTTATCTCCTGGAGAACGTCATAAGCCCTACACGTAAAAACAAAAAGACGACCAATTTTAAAGGCAAAGCAAAATCAAAATACTCCAGAAAAAAAGGAGTGACTTGTAAAAGATCATCTTCTACAAGTCACTCCTTTTTTTCTGCAATTGTGTGCAAACCGGATTTAAAGAATAATAAAAAAGCAAATGCATGTTATATTCTATGGGAAAAAGCAGATAGGAAGGCTGCGTCCCATCCTGCAAACATAACTCCTTAATTTAAAAAAAGGGGATTTGCACTTTAAAAAGCACATCGTTTGTAGTCTTTCACTATGTCCATGGCACTTAATTTTAGCATATAATGCTTAAAATATTAACACACGACAACACATTCATACACATAATAAATGTGGATCTGGCTTAATTATTGGGATTACAGTTTTAATTTAAAGACTGCACTTAATGAAGCACATCAACCAATCTCTATTAGTGTTAATCTTTTACTTACCCCAATCTATAGAGTTCAGCTGCAGTCAATTCTTCATTTGCACACACAGCGACGGCCCAGTATGCATTTCTCCGCACATCATCATAGTTAGAGCTTAGAAGTTTAACAAGATGGGTCAATCCACCAGCATTCCTAAACTAGACACCATACGTTTAAGTTAAAAATGGTTTACTAGTCAGCATGTCATACACATTAAAAAGTGAAAAAATGAAAGGCTTATTTTCTCTAATTATATACCTATTAATGTGCACCTGTCATTAGATAAATAAGTAAAGGTCTGTTTCTGACCTGAAAATTGCTTGACTGTCTCTAGGTTTAGTACTTGTGAGTAAGGATGGGCTCGGGCGTGTTCGCAGCTCCACGTGCCGAGCCCGCCAGGAAGCTGACAGCGCGCAGCGCCAATCACAGGTACTGAGACATTTTCCCGGTCCGCAGCGGCAAAGATCAGGAAATGTCTCATTGCCTGTATCTCTTTAGGTTGAACTCGATGGACTTGAGTCTTTTTTCAACCCGACTAACTATGTATTGACGCTGTGCGTTGTCAGCTTCCTGGCGGGCTCGGCACGTAGAGCTGCATACACGCCTGAGCCCATCCATACTTGTGAGTAACAAATCTGGAATAAACATGCAGCAAATAAATGCTGCAATTCCTTATCTCTATACATGTGCAGGGTGATTGCATGTGATTCCGAATGTACTAGATATGTAAGCTGCGGAAAAATTTGTTAGTTTCAGGTATTTCGAAATTTGGAAATTCAGATCCGAAATTCAATTCGGTTCGGGTTTCGGTTTCAGACGAAATCCGAATTTTCGTTAGTTTTGGATATGACCAGACCAGAATGGCATTCGGGATCCGAATTATCGAATGGCATTCGGGAGCTCCCAAATGCCATTCGGGTCTGGGAGCCTCAGCTTTAGTATTATATGTATATCAGCTTTAGTATTATGTGTATATACTGAACACGAATCAGATGGCTCCCATGTTGCTGTAAAGAAAATTCGTGTTCAGATTCATTCATCGATAAATACATCTGACTGGCCAGAAAAGTCACATGCCTGATTCGTTTTTGTACGAAATTCATACGGGACCCAAAATTCTGAAATGGAAATTCGAATTCGGACACATCTGGATGCATTGGGATTCGGAAATTCGGATGCGTCCGAATGTCTGAATTTCGGAAAATTCGTCCGATCAGTTTGACAGCCAGGTAACTAGCATTTAAGGAATGTCAGTCAATGTCAGTCTGCATATTTCACTATGTATTTATTATTACAATGAAGTAAGAAAATGCAGATGTTGTAGCAATCATGCAGCTTTGCAATTGTTACCTGGTACATTATACTTTCTTTGCATTAAACAACCGCAAGAGCAAGAAACTTTTTTATATATATTTACATGCGTTTATTTATATTGTCTCCACTATTACACGCAGACCAAGCTGTCCAACAAAAGAGACAGTTACGGAGGTTGGGACAAACCACCTAACACTGCGGGGGGTGGTTACAAGACTCAGCTTTGATTCATATGGTTTAAACTTTTTATGCCAATAGACCAAAAAATGTAGCTATAACTGCTAAGGATATCTAAATCCAAAGGCTAAAATTCATATTGCAGCTTAGCAGTCCTTAGATATTATGGCTGCATTCATTTTCATGTTTCAGGCTTGGAACATTTACAGCAAGTACAGAAAAAAAAAACAGATGAACTTGCCAAAAATACAGTATCCTTGTCACTAGCTATGAGCTGAACTGAAAACAAAAACAATCTTATCTTCCCTCCATACAAGCTTCTGTAAACGCATCATTCCTCTCCCCCATGTAATGTAGATGAATTGAGACATGATGGAAGTCCAGCCTTTGTGACAACCATGGCTCCCTCCATAGATACAGTGCAATGAGTGTAGCCACCCAGGGATAGGAAGTGTGTCATTCACAGGATTACCAGTGAACATATAGGAAAAAAGCCTGAGATATGAAAACGAATGCAGTCACCGCACCTAGTGTCTTATCAGCTGCAATATAATACATTTTGGATTTCGTTAAGCATTAAAATGTGTTAGCTACAGTTGTTTTTTATTTATTTATATGCCAGCTACTTAATCTGTAAATGAACATTTGGGGTTGTTAAGGCCTAATTCAGCCTGCAATATTACTTTCTAGTAACATACTTGTTGCAGTTTTAGGTATGAAATAAATACAATTGGAAAGAATAAAAGCAAACACATCACATTGCCCTAAAAACATATTCATCAGGGTAGACCGATGAATTTGTCAGTTTAATAGCCAACAATACAGGACATCAATTTACGCCTTCAGGCTACTGCAGATTACCGCTGATTGATTTATTGTACTAATCTGACGGATGGAAGATGTTCAGTGCCCTGAAAGCTGCAATGATTTCCTATACAGTCAGCGCCTTTAAATTAGTTTGATAATTTTCTAATTTTAAACATCCTTACCCCTCCCAACGGAGCTCAGACTAGATACAGAATGGTAATAATTAAGGGGGTTATTCACAAAAGGGTGAAGAGTTTGGAGAAGTCAGGAGAAGTGAACAATTTAGGCCAAAGTAGCTGATTTGGAAAAATTCTCCAATTCATCTCACTTTCCAGTTCAGCTATATTGTCCTGGATTGTTCCCTTCTCCTGCCTTCTCCAAAGTCTTCACTCTTTTGTACAATTCAATTTATACAGAGGGGACAACTGGTCCACAAGAGGCGTGGAAAAAAACCTTGTACGTCAAACTGAAACAACAATCCCATCTTCCATACATAATGGCATTTTAATATCTCTACCCCAGTGATCTGACAACAATTCACACCCATAGCCATGAAAATTGAAGGAATAACACATATGCAGACTTCCTGACACCAAGGATGGGATTAACTAGAACAGAGGGTTTCTACAACTTTTACCTTGACCTCGACACATTCCATGGTGTTTGGATTAAGGAGTCTGCGCTACCTGTGTAGATAAATGATGTGGCATGTCCCTGACACTCATTAGAACTGAAGAAGTGGCTTAGATAGGATATGAAACATCTTGAATGTCATGACTCCCGTTGAATGTGACTAACTTCTACTAGCTACCAAATAGAAGCGTAATTTTAAAAAGTCGGATACATCTATGCGGATTGCTGTGCCTAGATTGATCCTCATTATTCCCTTTTGTTATAGTTTTCTGGCAGTGGCTGAAGAGGGTGAATGCAAATGAAGATCTTCAATTGCGGTGCATCAAATGTGCAGCGAATATGGATGACTGAGCAGGAGCAAGAATGGAGGGCCTCTATAGATATCAATGGTGAATCCTTCATCAAACTAGTGATTCACCACTTACTGAGTGCTTCACTGCAATCAATGCTGGCAAATTTAGCACTGAACCTATTTTAAATATGGTGAATGTTACTGAAACCCGCAATGACCAATGGAAGAAATAAAATAAAGCTGTTGGGCAAAGGGGATTGAATGTGCCTTGATTGGCTGAATCCTGCTGACAGATACATTTTATAAGCATGGCAAATGGGCAAAAGGCATTTGGAGTTAAAAGATCAGTGAATTGATCATTTGTCCCTAAGGGCCTGTTCACACGACGTCCGTTTTCTGTGCTGACCTGATCCGTACGCTCCTGCATTAAAAATGCATCCCAATGTATCCCTATGTGTTTTATGGGCTACAGTTCTCACGTGCGCAGTCCGCGTTCAGGTAACGACAGAAAAAATACTGCATGTCACATTTTGTACGGTCAGGAAACGCAAAACACGTCAAAAACGCACTGCACTGCAGCTAACATACTGACAGCCCCACTCCAGCAGTTTTTTTTTAACTGGAACGCATCCAAAACGCGGCCAAAACGTGGCAAAAACGCACTGCATCAGTAGCACCACGTCTGCAGATCTGCACCTGATCAGGACCTGATATCATGTGAACAGGCCCTAAAAGCTGGATGAACGAACTCTACTTAAGTAGTTATGTTAGAACATGTTGACAATGAGAGGTCACACGACCCATTCATTTGGTTCCCCACATTGTCCAACTGCTGCAATCTGTCAGTTGATAATAAAGACAGATGTCAGTCTGCATGCTGACTACCATCATTGGTGCTCTTTCTAATGCAGGTACCACCTGAGCGAAGATATGTTTGTTAAAAGCAATGGTTCTCTCTCCTTCTGTATCTTGTTAACCCTCTGTGAGCAGTCAGAATCTGGTGCCATAGTAACCAATAGTGACCCATAGTAATCCACCTTTCAATTTCAAAGCTTAAAGTGATATTAAAGCCAGATTTTGTTTATTTCTCCTTTAACCAGTTGACATCCGCGGTGTTAAACCCCCTTCCCATCCAGGCCATTTTTCAGTATTCAGCGCTGCGGTACAGGAAAAGTACCTCAATCCTCATTTTTTAGTGGGTCCCCGCCATGTTCTTCCCCCTGCCCCTTGCACGGGTGCCACCATCGTTCTAATGGTGTCACCCGTGCACGCTCGTGCCCGCATCGGCTGTGTGCATCCATAGACACACACAGCCCTGTGGCAGGCCACGCCCCTTTCCTCTTTGATTGATGGCAGAAGGAGCCTATGGCTCCTCTGCCATCATTATCTCCCCCACAACCCGGAAGTTCGGGTACGGAGGAGCGCTTCGGGACCGGCGGCGGGGACGAGCGCAGCTGACAGGTAAGTGTGGGGAAGACAGGGGGGGACTGGGGGAGAAAAAAGGTACTGGGCTGACCTTAATACTACTTTAACTGAACAAACTGAAGAGAGAAGCTGATTGGTTACTATGTAATGCTTCACATTCTGTCTGCTCCAGTTTTGATAAATTCCCTTCTGTATATTTTTGTTATACAATCACATCCACTTGTTAGAAACATTTGACGTATTTGTATTGTCTATAATCTTCCCATCCCCATGTAATAGAGATGAACAAGGGTAGACATGTTTGAAGTCCAGCTGCCTCCATAGATACAGTAGAGTGAGTCAGCAGAGCCACACAGGAAGTGTGTATTATTTGCAGGATCACCAGGTTAAAAAAAAATAAAACAAGTCAGCAGGACTTGGCCAAAATTCAACCAGTGTTGACCAGCTTAAAGGGTCCATTTATAAATGTTTTTATACAAGAGTCACACAACTCTAAAGGTGCCCATACACCTTACGATTATCGGTTGATTTCCGTATGCAATTGCGTTTTCGTCCAATATACGTAAGGTTGATGGGCAGTGTATAACTGCAAATACTGTACAATCGATTGACTTTTGACTATCCAGCAGGTTAGAAAACTTCGGTCGATCATACGATTTTCGCAAGGTTGGTGGCGTCTCCATATGTCAAAATTCGTACGATTAACACTGCTCATGCGCAAACGAAAATACGTGCGTTCGATTACCGCATTTCGTCCAACTGTTTTTTTTTAAAACTACCGCTGATTGAACCTTGCGGGGCAGGATGGGACTGCCGTTCGAAAATCGTACGACAGTTCGATCATCGGACGAAAATTTTCGTCCTATGATCGCAAGGTGTATGGGAAGCTTTATCCAGGATTCACACATACAGTTTTTCCAATGGACTCTGAAACTAAAAAAATGTGTGACAAAAGCAGGGCTGCGGAAATTAACGATTAATTCCTCGATTAATCGTTAAACTTTTTGATCGATTAAAATTCTAAAACAGATTTTGTTGCCCAAGCAAATGTGAATGAAAAATCAGTAATTCTGCAGGAAAATCATCCCTACTCATGCCTGGGTAGATATGGAGAGAGCTGATACAGAGTCTACAACATACAGCACATGAAAAGTGACAGATTCCAAACTCTGTCAGTGTCAAATCAAGTCCTGTGAAGGAGGAAAGCCTTTCTTATACATCTACAGAGCAGACCAGAAAACAGTGTAGTTCCACCACATCTGGAGATCCTCAGACTTGTCTGGAAATGTGTCTCACCTCAGCTCTGGCTTCTGCGTCACACCCCACTGCGGCCACGGTGAGCACTGCTTTACTCTGCACCAGATTGCTGGAGGACTGTAACGGTTCCACCAAAGCGTTCATGACACCCTGAGCTTGTAGAATGGGCCGAAGAGACTCCTGTGCGGCCATGTTGATGAGAACCATGCAGGCGTTAGTAACCACTCCATCCCTTTTATCTGACAACAGATGAATGAATGTCGCGGGTCCATCTGCCTCAGCCGCTTTGCTGAGTTTAAAGAGAAAAGAACAAATTGTCAGGCAATGCAAATTAAACATTTTAAATTCTACAGGAAAGAGTTACCCTTCAGATTCTCTCACAGAAAATGTAATACCAGGGGGGTCCCGAGGCGTGGTGTCACCCGGAGTGGCCACCGGGTGGCAACGCGCGGTGAGGCTATTGCACAGGTGCAATGTCATAGCGCAAGTGCGTGATGATGTCATGCATGGTTACCTGCCGGTGGCCATCTTGGTGATTGATGCAGGCAGAAAGAGGAGGGGGAGGTATGCCGCTGGGTCCCCTCCTCTCTCATGCAACTGCCAGGCTCTCAGTCCATGCCTGAGTGCCTGACTTTTCAGAGGGGGTGACACCCCCTCCAATAGTGTCACCCGGTGCGGGCCGCACCCCCCTAGTGATGCCACTGTGTAACACAGGTCCAGGGTTCCTACTTCTCTGGCTGCATACTTGTTACAAGACAATCATTTACTAAGGGGTTCATTTGTAAGAGATGCCATTCAAGCGAAACGCTCAAATGGCATGATGCTGACGAGTACAGGAATTTCTTCATCAGCATCATCGAGGGGTGGAAGTGACCTTGTTACCAGCATCCACTTTTATGAGGGTATGAGATTCCTGGAGCATTGTGTACACACAGTTCTTATTGCCACAGTTGCATATAATTACATTTTAATTTTTGGCTCTTCTAGATGATTAAAAATCTAATTTACATTTGAAGATTTAATTACATTAAAGAGAACCACGAGATAAAGAGATGACTGGGCTTATGGAAAATGTGAATATTCAGATTTCAATTATTTTAACTTGTCAGCTTTACAAATTAGCTTTAATTACTTTATCTGACTACTCTTTCCAAACACACACCTTGGTTGATTCCCCTACAACAGGACACAGATGTGATGTAGGGGTCAGAAGAAGGAACCATGGCATGCAGAAGGAGACAGAAGCTTCTGACACTTCTGGAAGTGTTGAACGCCGAAGACAAGTACAGAAGTTTCAGTGCTGGACATGTGTCCATTTACATCCAATTACCCCTGACCCAAGCCTGGTCTGGAAAACCAAACGGAAAAGAGTTCCATTTTCCTGATCATGATGGATTGGGGGAAATCTGAGGGCCGTTCACATCTGCCTCCCCATAGACTGACAAGTGTCCATTAATTTCATTTTCTTTCCTCCATCACAAGATTGAAAAAAAAAACTGGATGGACACGGATGTCACCACTGTGGCATCTCTTCTGAACTGCCCTGATCAGTACGGGATCCATGCATGGAACTGAAGGCACCTATGTGAAAGGGGTCTCAAGGCAACCCATTCATTTTGAATGGGCCATCACACCCCAGAGCACCAAAACCAGAGATGCCCCTTTTCTCCCTGATGCAGCACACCACCACACACGGTAGTCTGCTACAATGCACTGCAACACAGCTCCGTTGCCTTAGTGTGTTTTGGAATGCCTTTGGAAATGAATGGCACCACAATGCCCCAACATCTGGATGCTGTGGTGCCGCACACATTGCAACAATGTAAAGAAAGCCTTAATATTAACAGGATTGTAACTTTGAAAACAAAAGTAATATTCTTTTTTTGTGGTCCTTTAGAAAAGTTGGGGGACACAATGAAGCCCCCTGAAATGCAACTTGTCACCCACCACGGTTCTACAGTCTACAGAAGACTAGGGATGTCCCGATTCCACTTTTTTAAGCCCAAGTACAAGTACTTGCCCTCAGGTACTTGCCGATACCAATTACGGATACTTTTTCTTAAAGGGACAGGTGACATTTTTTTCAAAAACAATACAGACTAATGATTTTAGGGCAGTTTCTCACCCGGGCTAAATACAGATGTCCCCAGAGCACAATACATGTCCCTAGAGCACAATACATATCGGTAGAGCACAATACATGTCGGCAGAGCACAATACATGTCCCTAGAGCACAATACATATCGGCAGAGCACAATACATGTCGGCAGAGCACAATACATGTCGGCAGAGCACAATACATGTCCGCAGAGCAGAATACATCCCAGGAGAGCAAAAAACAACTAAACAGAGCACAATATATCCCACCACAGCAGTACAATAGATTACACTATAGCAGCACAATACATCCCAGCAGAGCACAATAGATCCCACAGCAGCACAATACATCCCAGCAGAGCAGAAGGCTGCAGTCTCAACTGGGCAGCATGTGGATCTCTGCAGGGCTCTCAGTTGATCGGACGGGTGCCGGTGTCCAGGGCTGTACTGTGCTGCGTGTGGGGCTGTCCATGGCTGTGCCTGTGCCAGGAAGAAGGAGCAGGAGATATAGAAACGGAAAGGCACTGCCAGGGACAGCTACTGCCACGACCCCAGCAGGCTGCCGATGTCCCGACACATAATTTAAACGGCCGGCATTGGCCTTCAAAATCGGGGCATTTTCACGAGTACAGGTACTCGTGTCAATGCCTGGTATCAGCCCCAATACCAGTATCGGTACTGGGACATCCCTACTTTTTTTTTTTTATCTTCATGTCCTGTCCCAAAGACTTAACAGGAAGTGAGAGGAAATCTCTCCAATTGAGAGGAAATACCCTCTGACAGGGTCCTTATTTGACATTTTCAGTGGGACAACCATAACATTTTGATTTGTGCCATCAATTTCTGTCCCGGTGTCAATGGTCAGCAGGGCAAACCAGGCGAATCTCCCCAGCAGGGACCCATCTTTGCTGCCCCCCCCCCCCCCCCCGATACCGATACAAGTATCGGTATTGGGACATCCCTACAGAGGACCATAGAAAACTATCACGGTACAAGGCAGCTGTCTGTCCCTTTAAAAAGAAAGGAAGAAAGAGAAACTTTCATTCCACAACAGCAGAATCCTTCCAGAAATACACTGCATATATTTAACACACGACGATCTAAATGAGCAGATTAATTTTCATGCTAAATACAGGACTTGACAAATGATCTAAGCCGGTGATAATTAATTTGTGGCGCTGAAATATTACCATTAGTCAAAGTGTCCGTTCTTGTATGGAACTGAATCCACCAAACCATTTCCAGGTGATGCTTGCTGAGAATTCAAATAAGCTGGAGTTCTATAATAACAGCATGCGGATGAGTGCTGCTAATTCAATTATCAAGTATGGTGCGATGTGAGATGTATGAAGGTGACAGCCTAGACTACGGAAAACTGTTTCGTTGACAATTGGAGACGGGAATCTCAGCGATACATTTCTGTAGCTAACAAATCTGCAAATTAGCATCATGACCGGAAAAGTAGTTATGTAATCAAAGCAGATCGATAGTCAACAGTCTGAATTAAAACAGAACTCCGGCCTTACTTTCAGGCTTGTACAGTTGAACAGACTCCTTTCTGGTAATGAAATTGATTGAGCTGGCCATACACGGAGCCAATTTCGTCTTTTCTTAATGAACTTGCTCAAATTCGCTCCATAGGTGGCCATAGGTGACTCCCACCTGACAGCCTTTGATCTGGAAACTGAAGCGGCTGGGTGGAAAATTGTCCGTCGAACAATGACAGCTACCAGTTGCAGTCAGTATTTGGGTATTGTGACAGTGGTGCACCTGCGCTGTCAGAATACAACAGCCTGGCTTAGGGGGATTCCCACATCCACGCTGTTTACTTTTTTTTTTGTCCAGCCCCCAGGGTGAATGCAAAAAATCTACTAGTATAGCCAACTTTACTCTGATTTCACTTCACACTGTGAGCTTCTCAACATGTGCATTAGAAGCTGCAGCAAGTGAGATAGAACCTCATTTCCCAACTGAAGGACATCTAGTATTATCTAGCACTTTCCTTCCCAGCCTAACTTTCCCAGGTTCCCCCTTTCATTCATTGAATTTCATTTCTTTCAATGATGGAGGCTCAGCATTACATGTAGGCATTACCTGGGGCAATTTGGTCTGGTCCTCCAGACTGACATCCATCCAACAAAATAGGGCCGTCCCTATAACGAATCAGCCCAGGCAATTACATAAATAATTTATAAATAATCACAGAGCTGTCTGCCCTCTGCAAATTGGCTAAAAACAATACAATTAGTAAAGTTTATTTCCAGAAGGAATGTAATATCAGGAAAATACCACATTATGGCCACTAGATGGAGCATGGGAAATAAATACTTATTACCTATGACCTTCAGCTCCATCTAGTGCAGTGGTTCTCAACCTATGCGTCGCGACCCAAAAGTGGGTCGCAACCTACAGTTGAGGGGGTCGCCAAATGATCACACAGATATTAGTATTGGTGCATTCCTAAATTTTACCATTGGGGGTCACCACAACCTGTCAATTGTTACCAAGGGGTCCCGACCCTAGAAAGGTTGAGAACCACTGATCTAGTGGCCATAATTTGGCATTTTCCTAATATTACATTTGACCTGGAAAGAAACTTCACCAATAACATTCGATATTGCCCCCTTTCACACAAAAGAAATGTACATGCAGTTTTGCAGGATGAATGGCTCTACAAAGGTTTAAAAAAAATACACCACTATGTGTTTAGCTCCAAGGTCAGCTTCAATGTTCTGTAATTCTGAGTCTGCTTGTAAGGCAACATCTCTTTGCACCAGACTGAGCTTTTGGGGGCTCTAAAGCACACAATGCAAACCTATCCAGCAGTGGCCCCTTCCTCAAACTGTAACCTGCTGAGAACTGAATTGTAAGCTTCAATGTAGTTGCTGCTACAGCTTGCAATAAAAGATCAATTGCACATTAGCGGACATTGCATTACTTTACCGGTGATTATTACAGTGACTGACATTCACCTTCAAGAAAATCTGTCAAGACAAAAACTGGACCTTCTACTACTGTCTTGTGTTTAAAGATGCAAGCTTTAGGAATGTCATCCTCATCCTTCCTTAACTACTTAGGGCCTCATTGGTCCAGTATTGAAGCCAGGGGATCAGCTTGACAGTCAAAAGCAGTTGAGCAGTAGCTGCTGATGTACTGTATTTAATGGGAAGGTTGGGGAAGTGTTATTCTGCCTATCTACCAATAGATGGCAATAACGTCCCAATTTAAAGAAAAACATTCCTGTTGAGATTTGTAACTCTCAGCTGACTGCAGCATAACGGACCGCTAAGATGAGCTCTCGCTGTATTATTCATGGTAAAGGTAATTACAAATTATAATTGCTAAAATATAAAAGATGAATCTTGGCCATTTTCCTTTAGCCATGAATGTCGAAGACATTGAATGTCTTTGATGATTATTACTTATTGTTACTTTCTTTCATTCATTTTCAGTGGTGAATTAAAATGATTTCACTCAAGTCACTGTCCTGGCGCTCCATTTACACATACTTTAATCTAACGTCATTTACTTATTATTAAAGCATTCCCACACTTCATAACCTGCACATTGTTACACCTCTCCCCTATTAGGGACCTCCGACAGTTTCATTCATTTATAAAGCTGCTCAATGTCACCATATTACCAGAGAGGAAATGAAAATCTATATAAATCTATTTAGGTTCTGCCAGCTTTTATAGCTTTAATTCTGCTGTTTTTCACAGAAATGTTCAATGACACATATCGGTTTACATCCTATTCCCCATAGACGGACATGGGGTCTGCTAAGTTCAGCAAGATGGAGGAAAAAACAGATCAGGAAGGGATCGGTGCACAGATCCTCCCCTATTTAGGCAGTGTGAACAGGGCCTTAGGCCCCCTTTACATGGGTGGTCCGATAAGGTCCACCTGTCAGTTTTTCAGGCGGACCCAGATGCCCAATGTAAGTCTTTGAGCAGCAGTGTGTAAACAGACACGCATCAGTTTACACCCGGTTACCCCCGCCAGGTCCAAAACAGCAAACGGATCAGAGATGCGTTTCGCCGGACCTGGTCAGGGGTAATCTGATGTACACGGACACATGCCTGTTTACATCAGATTCCCAATAGACCAACATGGTGTCCGTCAGTTTCAGTATTTTCCTCCATCGCAAGATGGGGGAAAACACTCTACGGACACAGATATATCAGCAGTGACATCCGCTCTGATCAGAAGGGGATCCATACATGGATCCAATCCTGATCAGCCCGTGTGAAAGAGGCCCTATAGTTTGTTCAAGGCCTGTACAAGGTTTGCTACTTTGTATACATCCCTGACAACCTAATGATGCTCCCTGAAATTGAGTGTGGATAAGAATCTATTGAGCTTAATTGCTCAATACACACCAAAGTCATTGTACGTGCTGGGGTTCATTTCTGGGGTACAGAACACTTCTGCAATAACCAGAAAGATTTGGCTTGACACAAGTATCTTCACCATGCTTTTGCACCCAGCACAATTGTGTGTGTACACAGAATGGGGTGATCCTAGAACCACAGAACCCTTGGTTGGCATTTTATCACATCATATTTCAGGACCATATTTCAGAAGATCAGGACACAAAATGGTTTTTAAAAAATTCTGACAGGTAGGCTAGAGATCCTTTCTCTTCTGTCATACATTTTCACTTCCTGCCTGTCAGCGTTTGTGTGCACTGAGCCGCGCAAGCGCATGTCAGTGCACAAGCTTGGCAAGGTCCTGTGCTGAAATGAACTAACTCCTGTGCGCATACATGAAAGTTACATCATCCTGGCCTGGCCAATCAAGAGGCTGAAGACACTGAACCCAAAGGAAGACCGGTGAAGATGGCAGCGCTGGTGAAGGAAGAGAGTGTTGACATGGCACCTCTGGCGGGGATCGCCTGTAAGGTATGTGGCCCATAATGTGCTAATATGCTGTGCATTATGGAAACACCTCCTGGGTACCCACTAATTTGTTTAGTCGTGAAGGGGAACCCACCGCACTCCTGACCGAAAATTCCCCAACATCCAAAGCGGGGTGCTAAAATGACAGCGGATGGCGCCGCTGGATCAGATAAACAAAACAGTAAGTCATCAGCACTCCAAAGTTCTCCAAGGAAAGTTCTTTTTTATTCCATGTGTAAAGTTACATCACCAAGTGTAGCAACGTAACGGAACGCATCCGGTTCCTTCATCAGACAAAACAAACTTTTGTTCTGCCTGATGAAGGAACTGGATGTGTTCTGAAACGTTGCTACACTTAGTGATGTAACTTTACACATGGAATAAAAAGAACTTTGCTTGGAGAACCTTTGGCATGCTGGTCGCTTATAGTTTTCACTGTTGTGTTTAGGTTTGTGGATCACTACTGCTTTAGCAGGTAAATTGTGTCACAACCTAAACCAGATCAAAAGCACAAATGTAATTTGGAGTGTACCTTTAAAAAGAACTTTCCACACACGAGCACCATAACACGCATGAAATTGAAAGGTTTTCTGACCTTGCGTGGAAAAAATGTCAGACTATTATTGTGTTGTAACTAAACCTTCGCCAAAACTCCTGAAGGCAAAGCATATTAGCGCTTCAGAAGGAAAGCCTTCCACCTTCCTGACCCCTTTTCATAAAAGCGGCTCCTTTTCTGTATGGAACAACACACTTCCCCGTGACATGTGCTGACGAGGGCTGGCTTTAAAATTGATCCAGCGTAGAGACGTCAAATATTGTCCAATTCTCCCATCACACGGAATAAAGGTCAGGCAAATGTCACAGGTGTCAAGTAGAGAACACTGGGGGGATTTCTATATATTGCTGCTCCGTGGGCAGATGCTCTAGGGCATACAAGGCATCAGCATTCTGGTAACTCTAAGGACAGATAATTACCTGGCATTGCTCGGGGAACCGGTGGTAAGATTGGCCATGGTGAATGCTGCAGCCTCTCGCAGCTCTGCGCTGTCCTTGTTCAATAAATGAATTATCTGAGGGATTCCTAAATGAAGAATACAGCTTATTAGCTCAGTGTGCAGGGCTGGTGCGTACCACTCACTTTACATTACCCAGCTTGATAACGTACCATGCTCACCGAAGAGATCCTTGCTGGCTTCACTTGCACACATGGCAGATATAGCTTGCAATGAAGCAGTCTTAACCCCATCATTATCAGTAGACAGCAAGTTCAATAGAGTCTTCTCGGCTTCTTGTTCATGGAAGAATTTTCTGTTCTCGGCTGTGAACAATCGCAACAAACTGGATAAATTAATTCTGCTTCATTTACGAGTATCAATCGGTAACAAGTTATTAGAGTGAGTGCAATGATGGGCAACAAAAACAGTGAAAGATCTGAGCAATGACAGAAAGAGACCGCAGGATAATATGAAATATGTACAACTTCAAGGAGAGAAGGGGAGGACATGACTGAAATGTTTACATATATTGGGGCCCCATTCACATTTGCAACAAGCTTTATTTTGCGCAAAAACACATGCTGTGCCATTCATTGTTAATGGCATCTCAAGCATGGCAAGCAAGATGTGCGTTTCTGCACACATGCATAAATACAAGGTGAAAAAAAAGGCATGAAGCTCACAGCTGCATGAGATGCTCTGTTCTGTTTGTCACACGTAGAGCAGCCCATTGGAATAAATAGGCTGCCCTATGACAACACACAACAAACAGGCAAATATGGTACACGTGCTCACGTGCATAGCATGTGTGAACAAGGTTCAGGAGAGCAGGATCTTCAATATCAAGCTAAGATCAAGAACTTGAGGATATGACCTCAAACTAACAGGAGGAAAGTTCAAAACTAACCTTAGAAAGTATTATTTTACCAAAAGAGTAGTTGATGCTTGGAACAGACTTCCAGTAGTAGTAAGTCAGTCCTATTTTAAACATGCTTTGGATAATAAACTCAGAACAATGGCTAAAGAAAAAAAAGGGGGACCGCCTATAGGGATCACACTTCTATGATTCTATATTCCATATGGATGTCTGTTTTGTTTAACTTATTATTATTGCAATGAATCTTATGGTCACACACACACACTGGGCTAACCTGGATTGTGGAAGGGAACAAAAGCGTCTGTGGAATGAAGAATCCCACATAAATTAGATAGATAGATAGATAGATAGATAGATAGATAGATAGATAGATAGATAGATAGATAGATAGATAGATAGATAGATAGATAGATTTACAATATAGACAGATGGATAGACAGGTTCATTTCCAGTTATGATGCAGTCCTGTTATTGAGTAGGTTTATACAACACCATTTATATGATGTTGCACATGTATATATGTTTATATGTATACATGTTAAATGATAGATAGATAGATAGATAGCTAGATAGATAGATAGATAGATAGATAGATAGATAGATAGATAGATAGATAGATAGGCAACTACATACTTGAACCATCAAATCTTTACTGACACTATTACAAATCAGACCCCCCCCCCTTTTCATGTTGAGTCCCAGGAAATAACCCCCAGTGTCAGAGTTTAAGTCCTCAAACAGGATTTTGTGAAACAAACAGGCTTGCATGTATGGAGCTGACACTTTGCCTCCAGATCAATAGTGTCAGCCAATTAGCGTGATAATCGTTCTGGGGATGTTCTGGCAGCATGCTGTACCCACAATTCCCCCTGAGCAGCTCTACGGGGGTGATGGCTCATTAACAGAGAGTGGGCATAATTAACAGATGAATCAAGAGAAGCAAATAAGTGAAAACAAATTAGATTTGAACATTTCAAACATAAAAAAAGAGAAAAAAAACCCATTTAAATCAGATGAAAAGGATTCATGCTATGCAAGTGCTCTTGACGGGCTAACCTTCCCTGGTGTGATTCACCGAGGGTTCGGTAAACCCAGATTTTGTGGTGAACCTCAATGAAATCTATGGAGGACGAATCCTGCCGATAAATTCTGGGCATTCGGAGCAGGGGCGGACTGATCATTCGGGCACTCGGGCACAGCCCGAGGGCCCGCGACCATGACGGGGCCCGTGGCAGCTGTCACCCTCTTTGGGTTACTGACTGTCCTGCAATGCCGTCTTCCACTCGTCCTTTGTGTTATGTCACGGCCGACGGCTCACTGAGGAATGCAGCGTACAGGCAGAGCTGCCTGTCAGTGAGAGGAGTTTGGCACACAGTTATCTCTCACTGCTGCTCACGGCTTTGGCAGAGGGAGCACAAGTGTGAATACCAGGGGGGGCCTGGCAGGGGACATTCCACAGCTCTAGAGCAGCATCCACGATTCTCCAGCAATTTACATTTTCCAAAGAAGGAGAAAAGGTGAGCAAAAACCTACAAATTATGCTTCTTTTGCATCTCGTCACTTTGATATTAAGCACATTCTCCTACTGATTATCCTGCTATTCAGGATAATTGGCATTATAGGTCAAAATAGTCAAACCAGAAAAATTCTGCCATTTAGCTCACTTTCCAAATTGCCTATTGTATATTAGTCTAGATTTGAGATTCTCCTACCGATTCCCCTGCAATTCACTTTTTAGTGAATAGACCTGTTATTTTAAAAATAGTATGGAAAAATAATTCCTGTAACACAAGAATGTACATGTGGGTGGGGCTTATATATGGGTGGAGCACAAAGGGGCCCCATAAACTCATATTGCCCGGGGGCCCTATGTGTTGTCAGTCCGCCCCTGATTGGGAGCTGGGCACTGACATAGAGGACATTTAACAAAACAACTTTTTTTTAAATACGGTACAGCAGGAAGAGGAAGGGCAACATGGAAAAAAACACGGATCCATTAAAATACATGCTTTGAAAATACTGTACATTTAAGTTGTATGTTGTGTTACAGAAACATACAATTTTCACTTACAGCATCAGAGACACCGTATTCTGCCATCACATATTTTGGATGTGTAATTCATTTTTTACATAGTTACATTTAGCTTGGCTTAATTGCAGGAGTAGCACCCCGATTGATCCATTTCAGCTTGGAAAAAAGGCTTTTTTTTGGTAGTTTGGGCTGCGTCACCCGATTTTTTAGTAGTAAATAGTAATAGCCCTGAAGTGACCGGTGGAAGTAGCAGCTACAACAGATCTAAAAGCCATAAGAAGGTTTCTTCTCTTGCACACAGGCATTGGCCCCCATAGACTTTAAATGCCGGCATATTACCACTGGCAGGGAGCTCCAAGTGCACCATACAGCCTCACAATAAAGCCAATGGCTGTACATTGTTGTTGGTGGCTATATGCCAGCACTATGTAAACACACGCATGCGTATGAACGTCGGCATTTATGGTGTATGGGGGTTGGCGCCTGTGGGAAAGAGTAAAGGTAGTCATTACTTTTATTAAATGCATAATCATTTTTTATATTTTTGATATGTATACTAGTTTTTTTAAGCATGGAGATAAGGGTATGTACAGTATTGTGCATATCTAGTGAGAACATATTTTGAGTTATTTTAGTATTCCATAATTATTGATGTGATTTTTACACTTGCTCTTGCTTGCTCATTCATAATTTTGTCATTCTATTAAAGTATATGTCAGGGAAAAATAAAAAATAAACACCTTCAGTACATTTCTGTTATAGATGGACAGTTTTCCATGCTTTGCTTCTTTAAAAAAAGATGCAGGTACAGAAGAAAGAACCCTGCTCATCCTGCCAGAAATCCAGTGAGCTACTAATTTCATGTAGTGAGCTGACAACAATGCCTTTGCTGCACATACGGTATATATATATACTGTATATTACACCGCAAGTCCGCTTTAAGTCTTAGCCTGATGCCGTGTAAGCTTCATTTGATATATATTAATGTATGGAAATGATTCTGCCCTCTTATTTATAAGCCAACCAGCACTAATGAACTAATACCATTATCTGATGTAGAGAAAAGACAAACTGTCAAACGATTGACATTAACCAGTGGCAAGTGTCAGAGAAATCGTTCTGAACTGTGACTATTCATATGTGTTATTCTGAATTATTCTGAATGTAATCTTGCACTGAATGTCACACACCATTGTGAGCTGACTTGGCGATGGCCTTGGCGGCATTCCTCTGTATGTCAGCCAGGGGAGATGTCTCCGCAAAGGTCAGAATCTTCTTGAGTCCTCCTGACTGCTGGAGAAGCTGCACAGTATCTGCGTCCTCAAGGCAGTTAGCAATTATCAAAAGGGCCTCCACGTGTAAGTCATTAAGCTCCTATGAAGACATAAAAAGCGCATATGCAGAAATAGGATCTGGAGATATACAATATAGCACAAACAGTGTGTAGAAAGAATGTTGCAGGTGCCACACTAAGCATTCATACTACTTAGTTTGGTTTCAATGTGTGGGTTGTTTACACATATATTTTGTTGTGCAGTAAAGATGTGCTTTCCTCTGGAGCTGTATGCAACAAATTTACAAATATATACTGTATGTAGAATGCATTTCTTCTAAAGGAAACAACTTTAGATATTTCTAAAGCTGAAATCCATAATACATTAGGTTTCAGCGCTGAGAGATCAGCATTGATTGAGTGCAGAGAGCAATGGCCTACCCAAAGGGGCTCCTCAACTGACCCTCCCAGTATGACCCTCCCAGTATGCCTGATACTATACTTTACCACTAACAGTCCTGTAAGCTCAACCCCAATGCTACCCTTACCTATAATGCTAACACCAATCTTCATATTAACCCTCCCAGCAATCCTAACACTAACCCTCTCTGTAACCCTAACACTTACCCTCTTTTTAACCCTAGCACTAACCTCCATACTAACCCTTTATGTAACTCTAATACTAGCTCTCATGCTAACCCTCACTGTAAGACTAATTCTCATAATAACCCTCCCGGTAAATCAAACACCAACTCTCATACTAACCCCCTCTGAATTCCTAAAGCTAACTCTTAATATAACCCCAAACCCTGTTATCCTAACACTCCCTAAGCCCAGCACTGACACTAACCCTCACTATAATTCTGATACCTAACCCTCACTATAATTCTAACCCCCCTTCCCCCCCTGTAATCCTAAAGTGAAAATAAAGTCACAATTGCCCTTCCCCATGCTGCTTTAAGGACTTACCTTAAGTGATGCCTCTTGATCCGATCATCTTCTTCTTTCCAGTAGTTTTCAGGAGTCCCTCCAGCGCTGGTGCCGGTCTCTCATCCAGTGTTGACTGCTGTGTCTTCTGTGTCCCGCAATGTCTGTGCGCGCTCCTGGGTGCGTGCATGGACTTACACTGTGTCTCTCCACTTCTCCCTGCCGAAGATCTCTACCGAGCATGCACATATGATCCTTCAGATCTTCAGGCGGGAGCGGGTGGCGGAGACACAGGTAAGTAATTACCTATTTGGTATTTATTTTTTCAATGTTTTTGCATATACCTATTGCTTGCAAGCAGTAGATATATGGGGGAAAAAAACTTTGACATTGAACCCCACACTGACCCTCCCTGTAATTCTGACATTAACCCTTCCTGTCTCTAACACTCTCCCTTTGTGTAATCCTCACATTGACCTTTACACTAACCAGCATTAACTTTCTGTTATGTATCGTTAACCCCTTGTTCGCAATGCTAGCTCCTCCTGCACTGAAGACTATCTCTGTACCCAAATGTACCCATGCCGAAGTCCCAGTGCCAGAATCTGATTTGTGATATCCATACAGTGACTCATTCCACATTCCTGTTATCCTAACACTAACCCTAAAACGAATCCTCCCTTTAATCCTAACACTAACCCTCATACGAACCGTGTAATTCTCAAAATGACCCCCACACTAAGCCTCCCTATAATCCTGACACTAACCCTTCCTGTAACCCTAAAACTCATCCACCCTTTCATACTCACACTCCTGCACTGAAGACTAACATCCCTGTGCCAAAAGATACCTGCTGCTAGAATCTGAGTTGTGATATCCATATATGAACTCATTCAGTGGCGTAACCAGAGTTCTGGGCGCCCGGGCAGAAATTTTTTTCCCCCCATTATATAAACAACCACTGGAACTGTACCCTGCACCTCCCCCCCACACACACATGTTTTTATTTTAATTTTTCAAATTTTAATATTTTATTTTTTTTGAAACTTTTTCATTTTTTTAAATCAATTTTTATTTATTAATTAATTTTTTATTAAATATTTTTATTTTTTACTTTACTTTTAGGGGCTTCGGGGAAATATTGGGGGTCTAAACAGACCCCTGATATTTCCCTTTAAAAATAGAAAAAGAGATTGAGGACACAGAGTCCTCAATCTCTTTTTCTGTGTCCCCTGTTATCAATGAACAGGAATCCTTTATGAGTGTTCCTGTTCATTGATAACATGGTATGTTTACTATAACTACAATTATGAATGAACAGGAGGAGATGTAGATCACTCCCATTCATTCATAATTGAGGATATAGTATACATACCAGGTCCTCAATTATGTACAAACACTCAGCGATCACTGATCACTGAGTGCTTGTACCCGTTCTCCTCTCTGACACACACTGTCATAGGAGGCTGCAAGAGGAGAGCCCAGCCTCCTGTGACAGCGCTGGCTGTCTCCGCCCCCACACCGCTCTGCTGCACTGTGATAGGCGGCCGAGCGGTGTGGGAGGAAAGACACCGGCCGCTCACAGCGCTCGTCCCGCAGCGCTCGGCCGGCTGTCATTTTCTCTCTGATTCCTTCCATCCCTGCTGGGCACTGCTCTGTGTCCCAGCGGGGATGAAAGGAATCACGGCCGCGCCGACAAAACAGCAGGAAAATGTCACTTTCGGCATTTAGCCGAAAGTGCCATTTTCGGCCGGCGCCCCCCCCCTTCACTTTTCGCCCGGGGTCCGCGCCCCTGCTGCCCCCCCGGTTGTTACGCCACTGAACTCATTACACATTGAGTTTTATGTACACTGGATTAAAAGAGAAATCATCTCAGTGTGGTTAGTAAAGACAATGTAAACCTATTACCAACCTGCACCCCTTTACATTTTTGTAAAAGAATGGGGAACAACAAGACAGATGCAGAGAAATATAAAACTGTATTGGAAACTGGTTTCTTCGCTGCTTTCCATATGCTTGTCCTCCAGTGAGCCCATACAACTGAGCAGCCAAGAAGTGGACCATAGGGCACTTTTCACATTGTGCTACCCTGCAATTGTCAGACTAAGCGAGGACATAAAATATGCTTATTTTAAAGAAAACACACACTAGGGTCAACCTTGGTGCACATAGTCTGTCAGCTGCATACCTTTGCTTCCAGGATTTTTATGAGATGATCCATGGCTTGGTTCTCCTTGAGAGCCAGCCTGCAGTCTGCTTCACAGCTGATACTGCCAAGAGCCTTCAGAGACAACTGCTGAATAACCGGGTAGTCTGACTTCAAGAGCTCCAACAACGGGGGTACAGCATCGTTTTCACACACGGCACTGCGGCTCTGGAAATCCTGGATTTATTTCAACACAGGGGATAGGTAGCCAGATATTAAATCACGAGATGTCAAAGTAACAATACTGCTAATATGGGGAATATTCCTTTACCTGGGCCAACAGATAAATACATTCAACCGAATTCTTCTTCACATCTGGATCAGGGCTGCCTAGTAAACGGATGAGATGCCCTAAGCCATTCAGCTCGAAAATTCTTGCCTTGCTGCAATAGTCAGTGGCCATGTGTGCTAGGCAAAGAGTGGAAAACTCATGGACCACTACTTCCTCTGTAATAGGAATGTGCACAGATAAAAATGTAAATATAATTCACTCAATTGACTAAAATTAAAAAAAGCTTGCACCTAATATCTAAAACATGTTCACACAATGAACAAATTCAGAATGTTCACCACGATCACTAAGCTAAGGACATATTCCCTTGCAATATGCAGAGCCTATTTGCATTTAGTAAAGCAACCTCAAAGAGTTTACCGTAGGTTGTAGGGTCAAATGTTAGGGGGTTAAGGCTAAATATTAGAGTTAAAGCATGCGGTATTTAATCCCTAACAATACATTTCTGTTGTTTGCTACCTTTTGGTCTGGTAAATATACCATTGAAAGCATTTTGCTAAAGCTGTTTAATAAACACTAAAAATACCTGTTGATCATGTCAGAATTTAACAGCTGTCATGTGTTCAATGCACACTTCATGTGTTATCACAAGGAGTCTAATTCACGCTCCGAGTTCTTATCTTGAACTAGAGAATAATCAGTGTCTATGTTGTAGGGAATAGGAGGCACATTTGACAAACGGGGAGTAGTTCCAGAGGGGGGTCACACGCTGCTCAAATTTGGGCCAAATCAGCAGGACTCAGATGAAACTCAAGCAGTGTATGGCCAGCTTAATACATTATGGCAAATGCTCTCCCTCAACCCCCTATGCCTGTTTTAAAGGATTCATTTATCATAGTTCCACCTGGTTGGATGCCATTTACATGGCACTAGCGCCCCTGGATGGCATTGACAATTATAGGAATTCCCCATGCTTGTCAGTGCCATCTAGGGGCGCTAGTGCCATGCGAACGACATTTATCCGGCATATAAAAGAACCCCTAAGTGTCAGCTCATGTCAAAACAATTATTTCAAGTACATGAAATGCACATATTGTTCATGACTGGTTATCTCAAAGGAAAACCGTAATGGTTTTTCGATTTTTACCAAATCTGCACATCTGTTTTATTACAATGAAATTACCAGAGCAATGAAATGAAAAAGAAAGCTAAAACATGAATGACTGCTATGGATTAACACCTTGACTTGGCTGAACAAGGGAAATCTTTATGTGTATGGCCAGCTTTACCATGCTGAAAAAAGGCTTGGCCAAACACACACCAAGGGGTTCATATATAAAGGTTTTGCTCAGTGAACAGCCAGACGGATGCTGTTTGCAAGGCACTAGCACCCCTAGATGGGAATTCTTTTATAAATTGAACCCCCAAGATTAAAATCCCTGCATGGACAACAGTTAAAATTTAGGACAGACCACAAAAAAACATCAGTCTGTCTTTACAGGAAAGGTTGTAGTTTTTTAGTTTTTTTCTCAAATTATAAAGGGTTTATGTTATACAGTCTCTATTAAATCTGATATTAATATTCAAAATTAGGGATGCTTCCTGATTGGCTGGGAAGGCGCCTCCATGCTGTTTGGTCAGCTTGATGCTTATTGGCTGGGAAGGCAACTTCGCAGCCAATCAGCTTCTAGCCGGCTGTTTGGCTGGCTTCATGCTGATTGGCCAGAAAGCCGGCTTCCAAGCTGATCAGTATGGAGCCGAATTCTAGCCAATCAGGAACCGGGGAGGCAGGTCATTACCTGCCGCCCGTCTTCCTGATTGGTCGGGAAGCTGGCTCCATGCTGTTTGGCCGGCTCAACGCTAATTGGCCAGAAAGCCGGCTTCATGTTCCCTCGCGGCACTGCGAAGTTCTGGTATCAGGGGTAAGTATCGGAGCATTTGGGCAAGTACGCGTACTCGCCCAAATACTCTGTATCGGCATTGATACTAGTATCGGTATCGATGCATCCCTATACAAAATAATAGTATGCTGGTGCTACTATGTAGTGAAACAAGCCTGATTTGACCTACACATTCAGTAAGTTGAATCCCTTGGGTAAAGCTCTTTTTAGTGTTATTTTCTATAAATTGTGTAATAGTTTTATGGAGGCTGCAGCACCAGTTAATGTAATCCTTAGAAGCAGATATTAGTTACATTGGAGCCTTCGCAGCAGATGGCTGGGTTTGTCAACAGAATATTTTACAGATCACAGAGTTACCTTCTGGAACAAGACGAGCAATTAAAGAAGGTATGATATCCAGCTTCCGCATCAGTTTCCGGACGTCATCTGGGAGAAAACATGAAGAGATAGGAAGAAATAATTTAGTAACTCCAGTGCATGCTAATAAATAAATCTCTACCTCATTCTTTTTTAGCAGCAACTCCCTCCCCGATCACAGGAGCGAAACGCACATGCGCCCCAGGGCTCTAAGGTTGCTGTATGAATAAACACAACTATGTGTCTCATCTGCTAAAGCCACAAAACATTCTTCTTTTTTTATCATCTTTCATCAAACTGCAAAGCAGCCATACACAGCATAAACACAGTCATATTCTAGAACAGAATGCAATGTGCAACACTGCAAAATATGAAATGAAAACATAAAACTTTTTAAAAGGTCGGGTACTTTAGGTGGAGGAGACAAAATGGATGGAGAACATTAATGCAATGCTTCTCAAATCAGCAGCTTGCATGCATAGGCGTGCGCACAGGGTATGCCAGGTGTGCCTGGGCACACCCTAATCACCCCAAGCACAACACCAAAACCGCAACAGCGGGTCCGGTGTTTTAGTCACTGGGCCAGTGGAGAAAGATCTCCCTGTGACCGACTCAATGATCCAGAGCACAGCAGCAGTTGCCACTTGCATTCCTCACATAACAGCCCAAGCCCTCGGTGCCTGGGAAACTGTGAGGGAGTGTGCCTGCTGCTTCCCATTCAATCAGGAATCCAGGCGGGTGGTCACATGTGTGCACACCCTAATGCTATAGGCTGTGCACGCTTATGCTCGCATGCAAATTTGTTAGCAATAATCTTTGCTTCCGTTTGGTAAACAAAGCTACAGTTGTAGTTCCTGCTACGTAATGGCTGTCCACTGCTTTTCTCTGTTGTGCCGCAACTGCAAGCACTTATTTAGTGATGTAATTCAACCCCAGAACCAGGAACACTCCAGGGGGGGCCCCACTGCAGTTGTGGCACTTGGCAATGTTAATAGGGACAATAGAAAAGTATGTCTAAATCAAGGACAGGCAGCAGGTTATCTGTTAAAGTGACACTAAACTCAGGAGTTAAATCTTAGAATTGCATTCAAATACCTTAATTATTAACAAAAATGTATCTTATTGTGTATTACTCAGCTGTAGATCCTCAAATCAACTGTGAATTGGTGCTGACACTCTCCTTCCTTCTGGAGGGGGGCTACTTTTTTTCCCCAAGGTCCCTGTGTGTTGTAAAGTAGCCACTGCTCCAAGCTTGCTCCCATGATGGACTACAATCTCAATACAAATGAGTAAACTAAATGTGAGATTATAGTCCATCACGGGAGTGAGATTAGTGCGAAGGCTACTTTACAACACACACATGGGGAACAAAAGTAGCCACCCTCCAAGTGGACTGCCGATGTACTTTTTAGCTGGGGTGATCAACCCAACAACCATTCATAAGTGGGAATAACTGACAAACAAACCATTTGCAGATTCATAATTATGTCCCAAAGTTTCTTATAGGGTGCAATATCCTAAGCCACTGGTTTAACCCCCTACAAATCTCTAAAAGGAAGAAAAAAGCCAAATGCAAAAGGAAGAAAAAGCCAAATTTTCTGTACTTTATTTGCCACAGCTAGCGTTTCATAGAAACAGCTGGGCTGACATTTGGCTGAGGCTCTGGTGCACACTGTCCTTTATACAACATCCCTCATACATGACATTTCTCTTCCCAGCCAGAGTGCTGAATAAATAGGGCGATGTCAGAGAGAAGAGACAGTAGCTTAAAGGGAAACTAGAATGGTTTTGGGTCAATTTTCTTTTTTAATTCTTAGTACCCTGTTTCCCCGAAAATAAGACCTACCCCAAAAATAAGACCTAATACTATTTTTGGGAATTGCTAAAATATAAGACCTACCCCGAAAATAAGACCTAGTTGTGACCATTCCCAGGGCCGGTGGTGGCATAAGCGGGATCTTGAAGAGCCGCAGGAGAGAATCAGCGTTGCCAACGAAGCCAGCGCTAGAGGAAGCGAGGCGGCAGCGGAGGGATCAGAGCCGCATAAGTCCAATGCCTCCTCTATAGTGCCGACTTCTGTCACAGACGGAGTGATGCCAAATGCACTCCGCCTGTGAGAAATCAATAGTGAAAGTGCACTTCGCTTGTTCTGGCCAGCAATTGGTTAGCAAATTGCTCTTAGTGTGTTTTTTTGAGCCAAAAAAAATATAAGACAGTGTCTTATTTTCGGGGAAACACGATAGATCTAAACACAATCACTCGTATATCATCTAGGTTTCAACTTGTCAACATAATTCTAAATGTGTTGTTCAATCTTCATATTGATTGCTTTCATTAAAATATTACCTGACGATTGTGCTTGTTCAGGGACTATCTGTTATGGGGTGGCAAATGTCTCCCATTTCTGCTTCTGGGTTGTCACCCTACCATGTTTCCCTGTTGGAGCTTAAAACAGGGGAACGCTGTGTACATCAATACTGATATACATATGGTCATCATTTTGTGGACACCTAATCATCCCTCTTATGTGAGCTTGTTGGACATCCCATTTTAAAACCATGGGCAATAATATGGAGATACCTCCGCCACCCACCCCACTGTGACTATAACATCTTCTAGCTTTCTGTGAAGGCTTTCCACAAGATTTTGGAGTGCCTCTGTGGGACTTTGTGCCCATTCAGCCAAAAAAAAGCTTTTGTAAACTGAGGTATTGATGTTGGGCGAGAAGACCAATTCATCCAACATGTAGTCAATAGGACTGAGGCCAGGGCTGTGCAGGTCATTGAAGTTACTCTACACCAAACTCATCAAACCATGTGATTATGGAGCTGGCCTTTTGCACAGGGGCCCAGTCATGCTGGAACAACACCTTCCCCAAACTGTTGCCCACAAAGTTGGAAGCGCACAATTGTCTAACCATCTTTGTATACCGTAGCATTATCAGTATCCTTCACTGGAAACACCTTGATAATTTGGAGGGGCGTCCACATAATTTTGGTATGATGGTCGGGTTTCCAAAAACTTTTGGCCAAATAGTGTAGCATCGACCATAGGTAGAAATTTGTTTAATCTGTTTGGCTCAGTCACTATTCTGACTTACTCACGATTAATGATTTTAGTAGCATGTATAAGTGACTAAAAATTGCTCTCATGTAGCTCTGGCCAAAGAACATCTTATTCTATGGCCATGGGAACAATAACACTTAGGGGGTTATTCACTAAAGAGCTGAAGGATCCAGCCGTAGCTTCGGCTGATCCTTCAGCTCGCTTTGGTCGAACCGAAGGGCTTCTGTAGGGGCTATTCACAATAGCCCGTACAGCAGCCGAAGGCAGCCGAGCTGAAGGCTTATGCTTCGGCTCGACTGAGCCGAAGTAACAGCCGAAGCGTGGAGAAAGGTCGGCCGAAGGGCCGGCCGTTCTCCACACAAATGACAGCTGGGCGGAGCCAGCCGTGATCTCACGGCTGGCTCCGCCCAGTTGTAATGACAGATCAGCATCCCCAAATGACCTGGGGATGCTGATCTGTAATTAAACATTAACAACTGGGCAGAGCTGGTCGTGATGTCATGGCTGGCTGCGCTCAGTTGTTATTCATTGGCTGGGACCTGCTAGAAGACTGGCAGGTGCCGCCCAGTAGGAAACAGTTGGGTGGAGCTAGCTGTCAACGCTAGCTCCGCCCAATTATTTTTTACATTTTTAAAATAATTTTTTTACTTTTTTTTATTTTTATTCATTTAACTGTTTTGCTATTCTGCTCGCTTCCTCGGAGGTGCCGAGCAGAATAGCCGAGCCGAGTGCAGCTCGGCTGGATTTGGCTATTAACTTACTGTCGTTCGGCCCCTATGAGAATAGGGGCGCACGGCAGCGAGTGAGATGCCGGAGCTTCGGCTCAGTCGATCTAGATGTTGGATCGGCTGAGTCGAAGTCCTTCTGCACTTTGGCAGAGCCGTACATGCAGAGCATGTTCGGCTGACCAAAGGAAGCTGATGTACGGCTGATTTTAGCCAATGTATGGCTGAAATCAGCCGTACAAGGCTGACGTGAATAGCCGAACAGCGTTTGGCTTGCTTCACTTCGGCTCGGTTATTCATTCGGTTACTCACTTTGGCATCTAAGTGAATAACCCCATAATGGGAAAGGGAACAATAGGGCCCAACAAATGTGCAACAGTGCTAAGCAGTAAGGCAAGTATGACTGTGCCGTGTATATAATTATAAAATAAACACAGAGAAGGTTTTTTTGTATACATTAAGGCACATTTATAAGTCAATTCATTTTCAGCTGATCACATTCAAACATCTAATGAATGTTAGGAGCACAGATTAACATTATTAATGTAACCATTTGCTGAAGCTTCATGCGATATGAAAGCAGGGTCAATGCTTTTCTTGTCTAATTATGCCGGCTACTGATTTAATTGAGTTAAACTACAAACGCTCAGCCTTTCGGAAGCAGAACTGGTGAGTTGTAAAATGTCTTCATAGAACACTGAGGTTTTTCTAGTCCATCAATGTACCATTGATTATTTTTCTGGATGGTTGGACAGAGACAAACTCCACTGAACACCTTCCATTGTGCCCACTGGATTCGTTTTCTAAATTCTACTGAAATTCCGATGTCCAAAATAGCAGATGGCTGTGGAAAAACTGCATGGACAGCGTCCATTTCCCTTGGTTAAAGGCCAAGTTTTCCCAAACCTGATATATTAGTTTTGCCTGAACAATGGTGGTTTTAATCACTCACCGGAATCTAATATCTTTTAGGGAATGAGCAAAGAGATCTCCCTGCTGATGTTTTGCACACTAACACACTTTAGTATGGCAGCTTATTCATTTTGAGTAGACTGGCATGCACGACAACACAGGTTTCAACAAACCCGCAGCATTTTTTACTGCAGTGCACCACAACCCACCGATTATTCAAAACTGTGCGTTGTGGTGCATTGCAAAGCACATGGGTTCTGGTGTCCTGACGGTGTATTGGGGTGCCATTCAAAATAAATGGCACTGGAAAGCACAGCAGTCAGTTTCGTATGTAATGCACAATGCTGTAATCAATGATTAACCACCAGTTTTATCACATTACTGTAATGCACAGCTTTGAATAGAACCTCATTCCTGTGCTCATATTGTTTCTACATTTACCTGCAGGCAAAGCTATAGAGCAAAAGTGGCAGTAGTAGGTAATGGAACAAACCGAAAATGGTGCATTAACAATTCAGTGCTGAAGTGGTCTTCAAAATAGACTACTTGCTGCATCTTTGACACAGTTTACACAGAGTGTAATGATAACGTGTGTAAATTGAGGAAAATGCTTGTAAAAGGCATGCAGAAAGGGCCTAAAATGTCTAAAACACACTGGGGGTAATTTATCAAAACTGGAGCAGACAAAAACTGGAGCAGCTGTGCACGGCAACCAATCAGCTTCTCTCTTTCATTTTCAAATCTTAACTGAACAGACTGAAGAGAGAAGATGATTAGTTGCCATGGGCAACTGCTCCAGATTTTGTCTGCTTCAGTTTTGATAAATCCCCACGCTGTTCTTTAATTACACCACATAGAAAACACAGAGGTATGAATGTAGCCTTATACTGCCAGAGATGCTTAAAATGGTCACCTTTGATTTACTGGGCGTAAGGCTGAATCTCCACTATTGCTTTGCAGTCACATGTCTTTTACCATGCATGTAACCACAACATGCGGCAACGTACACTATGCACATTGGTGTGCTGCAGTGTAATTCATTCTGAAATAAACACCTGCAGTTAACAACACTACTGTATGTTGTGGTGTGCTGCATTGCTAAAAATGGTGCATGCACCTTTTTTGTTTGTTCTGGTGCTTTAGACATCCCATTCAAATAAATGGACTGTCTTCAAGTAGAACTAAACACAGAAGAAGCCAGGGAGAAGATGGTGACATCGTATTACTGGAGGGCAGGTGAGTATGGAGGGTTAAGTTCTACTTTAACACAATGCAAGGAATTTATCAAGACTGGAGAAGAATATCAGGGTTATTCACAAAAGGGTGAAGAGTTTGGAGAAGGCCGGAGAAGGGAACAATCCAGGACAACATAGCTGAGCTGGAAAGTGAGCTGAATTGGAGAATTTTTCCAAATCAGCTAATTTATCCTAGATTGTTCCCTTCTCCTGCCTTCTCCAAACTCTTCACCCTTTTGTGAATAGACCTGAAAATCTAGAGCAGATTTGCACTGCAGCCAATCAGTTTCTCTCTCACATTTTTAAATCTTACCTGAGCAAACTGAAGAGAGATGCTGATTGGTTGCCATGGACAACTGCTCCAGATTCTGTTTGCATCCGTTTTATAGGTTGTGTCCCAACTGTCACTTTTGCTCCCAAGCTTAGCAAGTAGACATAGATAACAATATAAATACAAGGATGGGAAATGAAAAAAATAATACATACATTGAATGTATAAACCTTATTCAGTTTTCAGAAAACTATATTTTTCAGAATGGTGTTTTTTTTTAAGTACCCAAACTAACAAATACAACAGAAGTGCAAGATCCTCTGAAGCACCAGGGAAGTCCTCAAAACCGGGCCTACTGCTTCTATTTTTTTAGTCCTTAACTTCTATGACTCTGCAGAAAGACTCCCCCCTATAGAGCTAAGCCATGTCGTCTACCAATCCGCTACCAAAGACTCCATTAGCTGCTGAGGCTCTGGTATTGGGTTGTTCGCTCTATATTGATTGAAGCTTCAGCAGAGTTGATGTCTACAGAGCATTGACAGTGCACCCAGGATCAGGGCTTCACCAGGCCCACTTTTGACTATTTGCAGGATTTACATATTATTTGATGCCTGTCCAACATCCATACAGTAAGATACCTAATATGCGTAACAGGTATTGCTTTCAATATTATGCAACATGTGTTGTAAGTTTAAAGGGCAGTCCCACCTTAGTTTTTTAAAAGTAGATATCTTCCATTGCACACTTACAGCACCATATAATACTATGCTTTTCTACAGGAATTACTGCATTTGACTATTAGAGCCACGTCATATGAGCGATTCTGCTGCTAGTGAATTGTCGCTGCCATCAGGATTGCCCTTAGGCTCCAGTTCACCAAGTGATGTAAGCCTCTATTTAGTAACATGTAACCCATGAATAAACCCATTTATTCGTGGGTTACATGTTACTATAAGGAGGGGTGCTAAACGAAGAGTAGATTTCAGTTTGTCTTAGAAATCCCTGTAAATAATAACTTACTGTGTGCTGCCATGATCCCACACACCATGACAGAATTTCTGCGAACTGTCTTATCTTCGTGAGAGATGAGCTTCGATAATGATTCTACCGCACCGAATCCTAGAAGTTTTACCTTATTTTCAACTCCTGGAGGAACAGGATTTAATAATTTAGTGTTATTGAAAGGAAATCACAGCTTGTTACAGGATCAATAAAACTAAGTTGGGTGACCTATATAACGCTGAAGTATAAAATGAAGCAGTAAGCAACATCATTATAGATGTTCATTGATGATCGTTATAGATGTCAACATGAAATTGTTATGAAGCCATTAATTCAACAATTAGCAATCTTGCAATATTGCATCTTTTACAAATTGTGTATATAGTATGGCACATAAGTGTTTTAGCATCTGCATAGCTAGGTCATGAATGTTTAGTTCATTATTAAACTGGAAATATGGTCTCCCATGAAAAAATATGCTGCAGCACCTAATTGTAAGTGCATCTTCACTTATAGTTTTCCCTTAGTCCCCCTTAAAAGTCTCCCAAATACCTGGTTGATGCTGCCAGTTTATTCCACCTCATACTGCTTCTTCTGATGGGATGACAACACTGCTGCACTGATTCAAGCTGTGCCACCTCGTGTGTTTGCTTTTGCATTTAGAGGAAAACTGTTAGGAGATAATGACCTTCTCTGCCATGGCTGGCCTATTTCTTAAAATGCTGGTTGTCTGGCTGTGAGGCTAATACAAAGGCTTAAACATTTCTGAGCCCTGAAAAGATGCAGAATTAAGAGTTCCTAATAAACTAGCTCAACATTTGTCCCTGGCCATTGATACGGACAAATAAAACAGGCAGGAAACCAGCAAAATGGTAAGAAAAACCAAACTGGTGACATTTCGAGGCCACACTGGTTATAACAAGGCAGAAGGTTTAGTTTTGCTGTAAGGCAGAGACAATCCCTGGTCTCCAAACAGTGCCCTCTTGTGGTAGCTGGGAGCCACATGTTCTCCTTTAAAGGAGAACTATGAGGTGAGTGCTTTTCACTCACCTCATAGTTCTAGCCGACCTGTGACAATGAGACTGTCACAGGTCGGCTCAGTAGATCGGGAGGTGAGCGAACACATACCAGCGTTCGCTCACCTCTCGATCTTGTCACGGCTCTCTGCCGTGACAGGGGAGGGGCTGGATTCCCCCCTCCCTGCTCCGATACGCCAGCGCTGACTGGCGGAACGGACGGGGGCAGGTACAGCTGGCTCTGCCTCTAGATAGGCAGAGCCAGCTGTCAGTCACGCAGCTGGGCGGATCCCGGCATAATTGTCGGGATCCGCTTCAGCTGCGGCGTCTCAGTATACCGCGAGCTACAGCTCGCAGTATACTGAGCCTAGGGTGACGGGAGGACGCTAGTTTGTGTCCTCCCGTTACCCTAAGGAGAACTATGGGGAAAAGCCTTAACCCCATAGTTCTCCTTTAAGGGCCCATTCACACCATGTCCGGATCATCTGCAGACCAGACCAGATTATTTCCGGACCCAAAATGCATCCTAATGTATCCCTATGCTATTTCTGGCCTCCGTTCACACCAGCGCAGTCCGTTCCAGACTGCGCTTGTCTGGTCTGGAATGCACTGGAACGCATACAATCATGGCAAAATAGCAGTAAAAACGCAGTTCCCTGCGTTCCAGATCTGGTCCAGAAAATGGTGTGAACCTGTCCTTAATGTACTGTAAAAACATATTTGGAAGTTTGCAGGCCATGCTGCTGGGAACAGGACTTATCAACAAAGGTTTTCTAGAATATATTTTTTTTTTCTCCGAGGTTAGGACAAGTACAAATGCCTAACTCATAGTGATATGGTGAAATGTGTGTGATGGTGAATTGGAATTTTGTTCACAGTGAAATACACTTATCCTGCATTTACCTATTAAAGTCTTTGCAGAACTTGCAAACATGATTTTTATGATGTTACCGCAAATAAAACCAACCTTTCTGTGCAAACTTATACAAGGCATCACAGGCCTTTGTGAGAATCTCTTGTTCTGCAGACTGCAGCATCAACACCGCCGTTTCGGCCTTCTTACTTTCAATTGCTAATGGATCGAACTGGAAGGAGAGAAGAGCAGAAAAGCAGATGAGAGGAGATGTAAAATCCTTTACCATGCCAATAGGTAACACATTGGGTGGAGCAGGCAAAATCTGGAGACGTTGCCCATGGCAGGTTCTATCCAGTGGCGGAACTACCAGGGTCCCAGAGGTCGCAGCTACGACTGCACCCTGGGCAGGAGGAAGGGGCCCCTGGTAACCGCTGATAACCAGGATATTTAATACCCCGGTAACTGCTAATGTCATTTCCGGGGCCTCTTCCTCCTATCCTGGGCCCTGCATGCTTCACGCTGCTCCCCTCACCTTGTTCCGGCGCAGCGTGAAGTATGATTCAGCCGGCGCAGCAGCCAAGGAGTGGGAAGTGGGGTTATTCCCGCCCCCTCATCACACAGAACTGCTGCCGAATATCCATGTGCTCCAAGATGGAGACTCTCATAGTTTAGAGTTAGGACCGCACTTTATAGAGGTGCCTTGGCGCGGCTGTGCGGCTTTCACATTTTCTGCAGAAGACGTGTATCTGAAACCTCTGTTTTTAACCTTAGCAGTGAGACAAGTTTTTTTGCATGCTGACTGGTGAGTGTGCTGGGAAACTTTTTGCTGTTACTCTTTAAAGCCCTTCCATGTGCACCTTGCTGTAAAGCTAGTAACATATTGAGGAGTGCGTTTGCCATTTGTTTTGCTTGACTATCTAAAGTTCCAACTCCCTGGGTATGAGAAGCCTGTTGCAGACATGAAAGGGGAGATATAGGGAGCTGGGAATATGAAGGGCACATGGGAGAGGAGAGTGTGGGGTCAGGGAGCGGAAAGCTGGGGACGTGAAGGGGGAGATGAGGGGAAGCTGGGAACATGGAAGAGGAGAGTGTGGGGTAAGGGAGAGGAGAGCAGGGGCCATGAAGGAGGAGGTAATGGGGACATGAAGGGGGAGATAATGGGGAGCTGGAGACATGGAAGTGGAGAGTGTGGGGTCAGGGAGAGGAGAGCTGGGGCCATGAAGGAGGAGGTAATGGGGACATGAAGGGGGAGATAATGGGGAGCTGGAGACATGGAAGAGGCGAGTGTTTTTTTTGTCTAAAGTTTTATTGTCTGTTTAAAAAAATCCGCGACCTTCGTGGATTCTTGCACCGAGGCCCTGAGGTCACTAGTTACGCCTCTGGTTCTATCTTTCCTTTTTTATAGCTTAGAGAAGAACTCCGGGAAGAAAAATGTATTAACCCTTGCAGCGGGGCTACCCCAGCACTGCAAGGGTTAAGTGCTCATTTGTGTCTAGGGGCTAAAAAAAAGTTATACACACCAGACAATGCGAGGCAGCTTGTTCTTAGACCGCGGTCTAGAATGTCTCTCTCCCTCTGCTGCAGGGGTCAGCATGATGACATGATGACACACTGTGCATAGACTGTGTATAGACATGAGGACGCTGAGGAGCAGTCCACCTGTGCAGTGGAGGAGGAGACACGCTTCAGCGATTATAGAAGCAGGGAGGCGGCTCAGGTGGTCTGGCGATTATAACTTTTTTTTAAAGCACCTAGACAAAAACAAGCAATTAACATTTTTTCCAGGCGTTCTTCTTTAACAGAACAAATGAAAGAGAGATGCTGATTGGTTGCCATGGGCAACTGCTCCCCCTTCTGTCTGCTCCAGTTTTGATAAATTCCCTATACTATGTTTCAGATGGTACTTACTAGGATGCATTTTTCATAATAGTAATCTTAGGGCCCTAATTGAAAAGCAGTGGTGTGGCCTTCCAACAGAGCTGACTTTACCCCTTACTTGCTTTTGGACTCTGAAACAAGCAAAGTACTATTCAAAAGATTATCACGGAAGAGAAGAGTCCAAAAAGGTCAGAGAGGAGAAGAGTGCAGTCATGACCTGTCAAAGTACTTTGTCCAGTCTCTCCTAAAATCTTGGAGTTCTCTCTGCAGCATTAGGTAAAGAAAACTCAACGGGAAATCATATGTTCCGGGTGATGGAGAAAACACTGAAGGGAATTTATCAAACCTGGAGCAGACAGAATATGAAGCAGTTGCCCATGGCAACCAATCAGCTTCTCTGTTTTATTTAAAAGCTTCATTGGACAAACTGAAAAGAGAAGCTGGTTGGTTGCCATAGGCAACTGCGTCATATTCTGCTCCAGTGCCGATAAATTCCCCCCACTGTGTTTTCAATTGACCAGCATTCCAAGTCCCTTATTTTTTCCTACCCAACTCCCTCTCCAGTGGTATGGTCATGGTTGATACTTACCAGTAACCTGCTCCTACAAGATTTTTGCTGTATTATCTTCCTGGTGCAGCACAGACTTCCTCTAGAACTTGTCAAAGATCCACATAGTGCAAACCCAAACCATGCATGTTCAGAACTGTCTACATTCACTTCAAATCAGAACGTGTATGCAGCCTGTCAGTCCGGTGATGGACTGAAGTGAATGGTGTCCTCAGTTTGAATGTGCAAGTATTGCTGTGCAGAGATTTCAAGAGTCTGGGAGGCTGTAAAGGCTGGACAACTCTAAGAATTTGCAAATCTTCCGGAAGGGGGCTCTGTATACACTAAGGCCCCATTCACACTGAGCGACACTTACCTCAAGCGGATATCCGTGTGGCCGGGATAGCGCGACTGTTCGGGCGACGTTCCGGCTACGATCGCGCGACCTTCACCGTCGGGCTGCATGCAAAAATAGAAAAATCGCGTGACATCCGCTGGGAAAAAGGGTCCTGCACAAGTGACAGGCGACATGGAGCTCCATTGCAAATCATTGGTCGAGCGACTTCTCACGATATCGCGCGCCAAATATGCGTGATATCGCTGCAGAAATCGCGCGATTAAACGCTCAGTGTGAATGGGCACTAACTGCTGAATTGAGCAGTAAGTAAAAAGTGCACTACGAGATCCTTAAAGGAGAACTCTGGGGAAAACTGTTCTTAATCCTTGCAATGGGGTACCCCACCCTGCAAGGTATAATGCTCGTTTTAGTCTAGGTGCAAAAATAACAAAGTTATACTCACCCGAACCTTGGTGTTGCTGTTACACAGCGTCCTCATGTCCTATACACTGTGTACTGCACGTGCTGACTCACAGGACCTTGGACCGCTGCTGCAAAGGGGGAGAGAGGCTGGAAGGACCAATCAAAGAGTCAGGCAGCCAGTAAAGCATTTGTTTTCCCGCACCTATAAGAAAACAAGCATTTAACCCTTGAAGTGCCAGGCTAGCCCCACTGCAAGGGTTAATAAACGTTTTGCCCAGAGTTCTTCTTTAAGCTGACCAGTAGAAGTTTGATTGAATTGTTTTTAGAACATTTGTTCGATTTTCTGTTAATGGGGTCAAATTGATGGTCGTTTTTGATCTACAAAAAAAATTAGAAGCAGCAGGATGGAAATCTTTTTCTCAAATTAAGAAAATTCTAACAGTTAATGTGATTTCCATTCGGGAAACTCCATTTATTCCAAAATCGAATGTTAAAATCAAATGGAATTTGGAAGGACATTCCTCAATTCTCTTTAGACCACTTAGATTTCAGCTTATTTAATTGTGTATTCTAAAAATACAAAAGTGCCTCTCTGTACCTGGAACCTGTGCGGCAGCACACTGCACAATTGTACAATACAATGTTATTAATCGGGGGACAAACTTACCACATCCTTTGCTGGTGGAACAACTTCTTTCTTAACTTTCTTCCCCATTCTACAAAAAAGTACAAGACAATCAATTACGGTGCTATAATATACTGGACATATTAGTACTCAAAAAAGCCCAGCTCCAGACAAAAAATATTTGACCTTCGTCAAGTCCCTGATAGCAATAAATAAAAGCTGCTAGAGACAGGCTGCATCATATCAGGGGCAGGTAACCTCGGCACTCCAGCTGTGGTTAAAGTACAAATCCCGTCATGCATGTCTGTGGTTGTCTTGCAGTGTCTAATGGGACTTGTAGCTCCACAAAAGCTGGAGTGCCAAGGTTGCCTACCCCTGATATATGCCAAATTTAGCCCAAAGCTTTTTGGGAGTTTTTTTTAAGTCCAGTGATGAACCCGCCGCCTGTTTTGTACAAATGATCTCGGCGATGTCGCCAAGATCACTTGTATGCTGCCTGCAGGTCTGCCATTCTACATGGGAGGGGGGGGGGGGGGTTTGGTGGCGCATTGAGGAACCTGGCCTTGGGGCAGCAGAGAGAGTAAATCCAGCCCGCATTGCGGCCGGGGGGTGTGGCTGCAGTGCCATTGACTTCAATGCACCGCCACGCCCCTTCTCGCCCTAGAACGCAGTGAGCCGGCCGGCATGTGATCCGGTGTGTTCCCGCACCGAATCAGGCCTGAGCGCATTGGGGCTGGTGTGAATTGGCCCTGAAAGTGTTAAAACATCTGCCAAAATCAATTCTATACATTGTTATCCATATCCCCATCTGGAATATTTTCCACTATGTTGGAAAATGAGAGGAAATGTCACCAGTGGAAACACATGGCAGTAAATACAATAGTAGTGAAGGGGGTAGAACCTCTGTCAGCTTTTTATATCTATTTGTGACACCTGTTAGGAAGATTTCCTTTTCAAATGGGCTGGAGTCGCCCTTTACCATTTCATCGCTATTGTCACTCTTCTACCTGGATAGGGAAGAACAAATCTCATATGCTTCAATATTGAAATATTCTACATTCTGCTCCCTTTAGGGATGACCAAACACCCCGTCCCCACATAACTGACCGCGCTCGCGGCACAGTGTCATTGTGAGTTTTAGGTTTGCGGTTTATCATTTGCATGGGACAGAATAATATGTCTCACCTTTCAAGATGATAAATGATAGGCCTGCTACAAAACCGTGGCTATGGAGCATTTACATGGTTTTACAAGCGAACAGCCAATTATGTTTGTGACAATGATAAGCCTGAGCAGCGGCTGGAGAAGACACGGGGAATGCTGGCTGACAGTGACATACACATGGAAGATTGAGACCATGAGGGAATGCAACAATAAGCTAATATTTCAGTGCTGGGAGATAAAATGTAGACAGACTGTACAAGTTTACAACTATTAAGATTAAAATGGACATATACTGCAAAAATCTGTCCTGATCCCTTAAGTGTATGTAAACCCTAACAATGAACTCCTCTTATTTGCTCCATTTTGGTTTGTTGAAAGAAGAACTCCAGACAGAAATGTGAATAACCCTTGTAGTTGGGCTACCCCCGCACTGCAAGGGTTAACTGCTAGTTTTTGCCGAGGGTAGAAAAAAAAAAGTTATACTCACCTGATCCTCCGAGCCGGCAGCACTCCCTCCAGTCTGTCCTATACACTGTATTGGATGTGGTAACTCGAGATTCGTAGACCACTGCAGCGGAGGGGGAGAGATGTTCCAGGGTCTGGTCTAAGAGCAAGCCTGCTCAAGGCATCAGGTGAGTATAACTTTATTTTTGCCCCTAGGCAAAAACTAGGGATGCACCGATACCGGTATTTCGGTATCGAGTACCGATATTTTTTTCGTGTAATGACTCGCCACCCAGCTTCCCGATTAGCTGGGAAGCCATCCCAAGGCTTCTGGTCACTATGTGACGAGTAAGCATGCAGCCGGCTTTCCGGCCAATCAAGAAGCCGGCGTTGTGTAATGATGCGGCGCCCGGCTTCCTGATTGGCTGGGAAGCCGGCTCCATACTCTCTTGTCACAAGTGATGAGTGACGAGAGAGCATGGAGCCGGCTTCCCAGCCAATCATGAAGTCGGGCAGCATGTAATGAGCTTAAAACACAGTGCATCTGCTTCCTCTTATCAGTCCTGCCAAGTTTTCCAATGTGGACTGCAGAATAAACCCTCCTTATGTTATGAAGATGAGGAGAGAAGGAGGTGTTTGGTAGACCTAGCACACTTCGAGCCAAATCATTTTTAAGTCCTCTTTCAGGTTAAAGGAGCAGATTTACTAATGTCCTCCTGTGACACAAAGTCAGCATATAGCGGGCTACTCCCTGCTATATATCCTAACAGTGCGAAGTCGCGCTGCAGCCAGGAATGATTCTGACAAAATTGTCAGGATCCACCCCGCTGCCTGATTGACAGCTATCTTTGCCTATCTAGAGCCAGAGCAAGCTGTGCCCGCCCCTTCACCGTCTGTCCCTCCAATGGGTGCAGTAGGAACAGAGAGGGGAGGGGGAATCCCTGCATGGGTCAGTCACTGCTCACTGTGGGGAGAAGACCGCTGATCATTCAGCTCTCAATCCATAGAGCCAGCATGTGACACCTGCCAACCCAAAGATTTGGGAAGGGTACATTTTACCCTCCCAATATTTCTCTTTTATAGAAAACCAGTACTTTGTCCATTCGCGGCATCCTTGACCCAGGATTTAGACTGAGCCTACGACACTACGCCCTGCCCTGCCATTCAGCTTTAGGGCTTGTTCACACGCCATCCGGATTCTGTCCGGACCAGATCAGTGCGCTCATGCACCCAAAATGCATCCCAATGTATCCTTATGTGTTTTATGGGCTACAGTTCTCACCACCGCAGTCCGTTCCGGTCTGGACAGAAAAAATACTGCATGTCACATTTTGTACGGTCCGGAAAAAGGTCCGGAAATGCACAAACGCATCAAAAACGCAACAAAGACGTGCCGAAAAAGCACTGCACTGCAGTTTAACATACTGACAGCCCCACTCCAACCAAAAAAATATATATTCTTTTTTTTTTAACTGGAACACATCAAAAACACGTCAGAAATGTATTTGGTTTTATTATAAAGAGCTCCCAATCCTCTATTCACAGGTCTGCTAGAATTGACAAGGAACCTCACAGAGGGATCTCCTGTCTCACATACAGGGTGAAATATTTTACAACTTTTCATTACAATTTGCACCTGAGAATTGTTTTCAAGTGTGTGCTAACAGAATTTTTCTCACTTTAAACATTTGAATTGTTGTGTGTTCTTTACAGCGGAACTGTAGTGTTTTTCATGTTTTTTCAGATATACGAGTGACTCTGATCAGCTGAATTCAAATAGTCTTATCTTATGTAGTAACCCATCAAACACCTGATTTTGATGTATAGTTTGTAATTATATATGTGAAGGAAGCTACACCGCCAACATGACGGTGAAACTGGTTCTTAACCAGTTGCCGTCCGCCCGTATAAAAAAAACGGATGGACGGCTGACTCGCATCAGCGGGCTGCCGTCTCCAGACGGCATTTTTTGTACTTGTTTGCACGCGCGCACGGGCAGGAAAGACCCGCTCACTTTTACAGCAGTTAACGGCTGTTTCACATACGACCGATCGGCGGCTCTATAGCCGCTGATCGGTTGTATGGCGTACTTTTGGGGTCCCCAGGTGACATTAGGGGTCATTAGGGGTGATTGTATCCCCCTATGCATATGATTCAGCTCGACTGAGCCAAAGTGACACCCGAAGCGTGGATAACGTTTGGCCGAAGCCGACCGATCTCCACGCAAATGACAGCTGGGTCAGAGCCAGCCTGATCCCACAGCTCGCTCCGCCACAAATGACCTGGGGACGCTGATCTATCATTAAACAATAACAGCTGGGTGGAGCACGGCCAGCTCTGCCCAGTTGTTATTCATTGGCAGGGACCTGCTAGAAGACTCTGGCAGGTGCCGGACAATAGGAAACAGTTGGGCTGAACTAGCTGTCAACGCTAGCTCTGCCCATTTTT